CCCAAATTGAGCCATGTAGCTGGATACAAAGTTGACACAGGATATAATTTGGTTTTTTCCCCATTCTCCTGTGCTCCCTTCAATCCCTCTTCCCTCCCCATTTACAAAAGCTTTGTTTCCATTTTTTCCCCTTTCCCCTTCCTTTTTCTCCTCTGTGCTTTCCCTACTTCATTTATATACTTTGGTTCTTACTGACACTTTTGGTTTCTCACACCATCAAGTATTGTAATTTTCTTTTCTTTTCTTGTGGTACTGGGGATCAAACTCACAACCTCACCTTTGCCAGGCAGGTGCTTATGCCGCTGAGCTAAAACCCCAGGCTCAGTTGTGTATAGGAAAGCTATTGATTTTTATGTTTTATTTGTTTACTTATTTACTTATTTTGGTACCGGGGATCAAGCTCACAACCTCGAGATTGCCAGGGCAGGCACTTAAGCCACCACTAGGCTAAACCCCAGCATGGCTATTGAATCAAGTTATATCCTGTACAGGTACAAATTCCCTATGATGAATGCAATTATTTAATTTTTTTTGTCTTTTTTTTTATCAGTACTGGGGATCGAACTCACGACTGCCTGCTTGCAAGGCAGGTGCTTATGCCGCTGAGCTAAATCTCCAGCCCGATGAATGCGATTATTATGTATACCTAAAACATACCAACAGGCTTAACTCATTAAAAAATAAAACTACAGTAATCTGAAAAAAGAGATTGAAGAGGATATCAGGAAGTGGAATACCTGTTCTTCAGTAGGAAGAACTAATATAGTGAAAATTGTTATACAGATGTAATGCAAGCCAGATCACCATTATCATACCTCACAGAAATAGAGAAAACAATCCTAAAATTCACTTGAAACCAAAAGAGACATAGAATAGCAAAATCAACTCTGAGGAACAAAGGCAAGACGGGAGGTATCACAATCTCTGACTTGAAATTATGCTACAAAGCTATCGTGATCAAAACATCATGGTACTGGCAAAACACACAAAAAACCAAAAAACAAATCTGAAGATTAATGGAATAGATTAGAAGATGCAGAAACAGCTCCAAATACAATCAACCACTTTATCTTTGACAAATGAGTCAAACACCTTCACTGGAAGGATACTCATTTTAATAAATGGTGCTGGAAAAACATGTCAAAAAACTAGACTCATATTTTTACCATGCATTAAACTAAATTAAAATGGATCAAAGATCTAAAATTTGTTTTTCTTAAGTTGTTTTTTTGTTTTTTTGCGATAGGGTCTTGCTATGCAGTTCAGGCTGGCTTTGGGCTCACCAGGAAGCCTGCTATCAAATTTGCAATGATACTCCTGCCTCAGCCTTCCAAGTGCTGGTATTACAGGGATGCACTACCACACCTGGCTAAAAATCTAAAATTTAAAATAGAACCATTAAATGTGCTGGAAAATAGAAGAGATAGAGGGCTAGGGATTTAGCTCAATGCCATAATTTGAGGTTATAAATTCAATCCCTGGTACACACACACATAAAAAAAAAAAAAAAAGAAAAAAAAGAAAAAAAGAAAAAAGAATAAATAGAAGTCTTTTTTTTTTTTTTTTTGGATACTAGGAATCAGACTCATGACCTCATGCTTGCCAGGCAGGCACCATGCCACTGAGCCATGAATAGATGGAACTCTTGAACACATTGGTATAGAGAAAGACTTTATGAACAAAACCCTGATCCCACAGGAAATATCACAAAGAATCAGCATCTGTGATCTCATCTTATTAAAAAGTTTTTGCATAGCAAAAGAAATCACTGAACGAGTGAAGAGACAACCCACATATGGGAAAAACTTTTGCCAGCTGTTCCTCAGACAAAGGACTAATATCTAGATATAAAAACCTCAAAAAGAAATTAGCTCCTCCAAATATTTTTTATTTTTAGTTTTTAAAAGTTTTCAATTTTTAAAAGGGGTAAAATTAAACACAACAAAATAGAACAAAATAGGACATAAGAAAGCAATGTATGAGATGTAAATTTCAAAGCTAGACGACCTGAGATCTTCACTGTCTATCACATTGTCTCTCATTTTCTTCCAAATAGTTGTCCACGTCTCCCCATACAGAGAATTCATACAAAGCAATGGAGTAAAACGGATCCAAACAGAATGAGGAAGGTGTTTTAGGTCTTCCAAACCAGTCAACAGGGAAGTCACTAATGGCCACGGAGAGTCTCTCGTTCTCTTCAAAATAGCTGTCCATACTTTCATGTATATTGAAGTTCAACAAAACAGGCAGCGGGGAAGGGGGTGCTTGGTTTCCTGGTGCTCCAGGTCCCAGCATGCTGCAGGTCCCAGTAAACACCACTGGTGGCTGCTTTCCTGGGCCACCAGATCCTGCCAAATTCACCGCTGCTCACCCAGGGCGAGGGTGGGGTTGCTCTAAACTGTTTCTTTCTAATGAAATGAACATTGCACTGCCCAAGTTCTGAAATGGCCAACCGACCATAGAAAGACATCTCTTTAGGCTCCTCCTTGAAACCAACAGTGTCAGAAAGCGGCTGGCCTTGATTCAGGGCCAGGTCCTCCAAATTTAAAAAAAAAAAACCTTTTTGTACCAAGGATTGAACTCAGGACCTTGCACTTGCCAAGCAGGCCCTTATGCCGCTGAGCTAACCACCCCGCTTGATCCCCCAAATTTAAGGAAGGACCTGATTCAAAAATGGGTATCTAAAATGAACATATATTTGTCAGATGAAGAAATAGAAATGACAAATAAATATAAGGAAAAATGTTAAATATCACCAGTCATTCCATAGATGCAAATTAAAATAATGCTGAGCCATGCATTGTGATGACACAGGTCCATAATCCCAGCACTTGGGAGGCTGAGGCAAGAGGATCATATGAGTTCCAGGCTAGGTTGGGTTACATAGTGAGCTTAAGGTCAGCCTGAACTACATAGCAAGACCCTGTCTCGAAACAAAGCATAATTTTAAAAAACATTAATTCGGAGATTCATCTCATCCAGAAACAATGACTATTATCAAGAAATCAACCCATAACAAATCCATGGTAGGGCTGTAGGGAATAAAGAACCCTTCTCTACTGTTGAGGGGCTTGTAGGCTGGCGCAGTCACTGTGACAATCAGTGTGGAGATTCCTCAAAAAACTAGGACTAGAGGTCCCATTCTACCTGGCTATTCCCCTTCTTAGTATGTGCCAAGACCTAGTGCAGCCCCTGAGGTTCTTGGGGTGAAGGACCATGAGAGGATGAGAAAAATAAAGAAAAGACAAAGCTGGGGTCAGGGGGAGCCCTTACTCTCCTGAGGTGAGGAAAGGTACTGCTCAACCCTGTAGCAAGTTTGTTTACATACTGGGAAGGATGACGTCAATTTCAGCCCCTCCCAGCAACCCACTGCTTGGATTGTCTAGGAGCTTGCTGTTTTTCTGGGCTGTAGCAACTTTTTCAGGTGGCTGACCTGGGGCTCTGTGTTTTCTGGTAGCATCATATCTGGATCATGTGCTAGGTCAATTTCCAGCTTCCACAGCTCCCAACAGGTATGTTCCCAAAAGAATTAAAAGCATCATAGCGCAGGGATATACACATACCCGTGTTTATAGTGGCACAGTTTGTAATAGCTAAATCTTGGAAGCAACCCAAATGGCCATCAACCAATGAATCAATAAAGAAGATGTGAGTTTTTAAAATTATATTTTAAGGCTGGGGATTTAGCTCAGCGGCATAAGCCCCTGCCTTGCAAATGTGTGGTTGTGAGTTCGATCCCTGATACCAATTAAAAAAAGAAAAAGAAATAAAAATATATTTTAAGAAAATGGAGTACTACTCTGCCAGAAAGGATAAGCCTAAAACATTCCTAGGTAAATGGATGCACCTTGAGACCATACTCATAAGTGAAAGAAATCATATACACATGTCCAAATATTGCATGGTTTTATGGTGTGAGAAACCAAAAGTGTAAATAAGGACCAAAATGTATCATAGATATAGGGAAATGGGAAGAAAATGTTTAAATGAAGGGGTTGAAGGGAAGGGAGGGAAATGGGGAAAAAAAAGAGGAATCAAGATATGTCATATACAGATACAAATTCACTGATGAATGTTACATTATGTACATCTACAGTGTATCAATAAAATTAAAAAGAAAAAACCCACTTAACTCTCTAAAAATTAAAAATAAATAAATAAATAAAGTTAATCCTGTCATGGTGGCACAAGCCTGTAATCCTAGCACTCTAGAGGCTGAGGCAGAAGGATTGCTGCAAATCCGAAGCCAGCCTGGACTACAAAGTGAGTTCAAAGCCACTTTTGAAGGGCACAGTGAAACCACCTAAAAATAAATAAATAAATAAACCGACCTCTGTATGGAGAATTTGTTTCTCCTATTCTGATCCTTTCTGGTGTTAAACAGTTTATTTCTCTTCTCAACAGCATCCTTAGACAAGAACGTGAGGAATGTGTCTGTCTCAAGTATTTCCCCTTCTCTCTCAAACTACCGACCTGCAAGCCACATGGTTGCAAGCCACAGGCCTGTCCTGGCCCACGTGACCTTTCAGGGTCACCTCCCTCTCTCCCTATTGGAGAAAACTTCCCACCTTCTTAGGAGAGCAGCCGGCCCAGCTCCTGGCCACCAAGGTCCCATCCAGGGCAATGGACATGCTCTGAGCGCTTCCGTCCCGAGGGTTAGACTAAGGAAGGACCGCAGGGGTTTATTTAGAACTTCTCTGCCCGCTAAGCGAGTTTCCAAACTGCGCTGCGATTCTTCCTTTCCCCTTCACCTCTCCCTTAAGTCTAGCTGGCCTTGAACTCAGTGATTCTCCTGCCTCAGCCTTTTGAGTTGCAGGCATTACAGGCGTGCGCCACCACGCCCGGTAACCTCACCATCTTTAAAATTACAAAAAAATTCATAGATGCCTGGCAAGCGCGAGGTTGTGAGTTCGATCCCCGGTACCAAAACAAAAAACAAATTCATAAGAGAAATGTGCAATGACCCAAGTTAATGTTCCCAGTAAAGTTATATGAAAAAGTAATTTGTCAAACGGCATTTTATTTTATCTCTGCATAGAATCATACAGTAATACAACAAAATAGGGACCATTCATTGATGAGATTATTGGTGAGTTTTACTCTCCTGTCTGGGTACTCTGCGGTTTTTATTGCACTTTAAGAACCTGGAGTTTTTGTTTTGTGGTCACTGGCATTAAAGAGCTTTTTGGTACGGGGAATCGAACTCAGGACCTCGCGCTTGCTAGGCAGTCGTTGTGCCGCTGAATATGCCCGGTCCTAAAGTCATTTTTAAGATTACATTTCCAAACAAAACAAAACTACAAGTCCAGCAGACCTCGCGCCGGGACTTTGAAGCCCGCCTTCTCCCCAAGGCGCTGACCTTCGGGACTTGTAGTCCAGAGGCGAAAGCGAGGAGGGATGCGCACTACCGGCATAGATGACAGAGGAAGAAACCACCGCCGCTTTGACCAATGGACAACACTTACTGGGCCTGAGTAGCGGGCAAGCAACCAATAGTGAGCCGCTCCGCCTGAGTGATGTGAGTGACAGCCTACGGGCGCCCCATGGGGTGGAGCGGCGCGCGGTGGCCCGTAGTGTGAACCATGGGAGGCAGCTGGTGGTGGGCTCGGGTCGCTCGCCTGGCCCGACTTCGCTTCCGGGGCTCGCTGCTGCCTCCACAGCGGCCCCGGAGCGGGGGCGCGCGGGGATCCTTCGCCCCAGGTCACGGTCCCCGCGCCGGAGCTTCGCCGCCCGCAGTGTCCGAGCTGGACCGCGCGGACGCCTGGCTCCTCCGGAAGGCTCACGAGACAGGTCCGTGGCAGGGGCTGGGGTCGAGCCGGGTGGGAGCGGGGACTCCGCAACCGAGCGTGCCGAGCGCGTATGCGGGCCGCGAGGCTGCAGCCGCTGCTGGAGGCAGGGCCCGGGCACCGGGGCGACGGGGGCTTCCGTATCCGCGCAGAGACGCTGACTGCAGGGGTGCAGGCTGTGCGCACAGGACAGGGGTTTGTGCGAAAGGCGGTGGGGTCCGGGCCAGCGGGGCGCAGTGGGGAGCAGGGCAGGCGATTCGGCTAGGAAGACGACTGGCAGAATTGCGCATGCACGATGAGGGGACTTCTCCTGGGCAGCTAACGGTAAGGGGTTCCCCGCTACAGGGACCCGCTTGGGTGGCCGAGAGGACCACTCCGGCCACAGTAGAATGCAGCTCCCAGTAGAAGATGGGGAGCTCTGGATTGGAGGAGGGCGCAGCCAATAGGAGCGAGACTCTCTGCTGATTGGAAGAAGAGGCTTCTGGGGGAGGAGCCTCGGGTGGGAGGGCTGACAGATCGGAACCCATAGGGCGGTGGGATTAAGGATAGAGTAGGGGATTTGAACTGGAGAACATGTAGGCGCTTTTAAGTTGGTCCTATACTGTAGGAGACAGTGGCGTTTGAAGGAGATCAAGGCGGATGCCTGAGAGAGGCCTGCGTGGGGGCTGTGTCCCAAGGGTCTGAGAAAAAAGGAGGCTGGGGCTACACTTGGGGAGACGGCTTGGCCGAGATGGCCCCCGTGGAGCCTTTCTACTTGGAGAGAGAGGGTTCTTCACTTTTGGCTCTAGATCGCCCTCTAGGTTCCACAGAGTCATGTTGAATCTTTGGTGTTGGAGAATTGAGGGGGAAGTTCGGAGATGAAGATGAGATTATGGGGCCTTTGGTGGGGGCTTCCTGGAAGAGATGGGGATTTGGAGTGGGTTGGCCTGTTGGCTGGACAGTACGGAGAAAAGGAAAAGCCCCTCAGGTTGACTGGGCAAAGGGGGTTTTTGGGGGCAGTGCTTGGGCTGACGCCCATCTTCCTCTTTCTGCAGCCTTCCTGTCCTGGTTCCGCAATGGCCTCCTGGCTTCAGGCATCGGGGTTATCTCCTTCATGCAAAGTGACATGGGACGGGAAGCTGCCTATGGTGAGTGCTGACCCCTTCAAGGGACTGAGGGTGCTCTGGGCCCGAATTTAAGTGTGGACCCTAAGCATCATCCTCTGGCTGCCACTAGTGGCCCAGGACATGGGTCTAATGCTACCTCTTAGAGATCCGGTGTCCAGAGCCAGGGGGTGGAGGGTGCTGGCTCCAGACCCCCCCCCCCAAGACATTGACACCCTGATGGCTGTGCCTGCCCCATTGGGTTTGTTCCCTGGCCTCTCTGCCGGAGCTGATGACCCCTCCAACCCCCTTTTCCCTCTCCCTCTCTGCAGGCTTCTTCCTGCTGGGTGGCCTGTGCGTGGTGTGGGGCAGCGCCTCCTACGCTGTGGGACTGGCCTCGCTGCGTGGGCCCATGCAACTATCGCTGGGGGGCGCAGCCGCTGGTGTGAGTGCAGTCCTGGCTGCCAGCCTATTGTGGGCCTGCGCCGTGGGCCTCTACATGGGCCAGCTTGAGCTCGACGTAGAACTGGTGCCCGATGATGATGGGGCAGCCACCACCGAAGGTCCCGATGAAGCCAGCCGGCCTCCATCAGAGTGAGCAGCAGGGCTGTGAGGACAGATCGGCCCGAGGACTGGGACATTAAACACTGAGCTGCCCGAGCTCCAGACTCCAGACTCAGAGTGGTGGCTCCTGTTCCTTGGGGAAGGCGCGATTGGAGAACAGGGCCTGGAGGGGGCGATGGAGAGCATCGAGGAGGAGGGGGAGGGGAGGGAAGAAGAGCGCGAGCGGAGCGGGACGGAGGAGGGAGGAGATGGAGGATGGGGGGGGGGCCCGCGGTCCTCAGTCCCCCTTCTGCTGTGCTCTGGGGCCTGCAAGCCCGAGCCCAGAACAGGGCAGGCCCAGTGTGGGGCAGAAGGCGCTGGGCAGGCGTGGGCACACAAGGCCCAGCTCAGCGGGCGCGTAGCGGATGGCACCAGGTGCGCAGAGGTCGCGTACCACCGGCGGCAGGAAGCCCGCAGGCAGCAGAGCGGGTGGCAGTGACGGTGGCAGGGACAGCGGTGGGTCTCGAGGAGGTTCAGGGCCCCATGGCCGCAGTGCACCCCGGATGACGGACGTGAACCCGGGTCGCATTGCTCGAGGCTGCTCGGTGGCTTCCTCATCCCCGCTGTCCTTTGAGCCCCTGGCTTCCTGCGATCGAGGCTCCACTTTGATGTGCTTAGCCCGGACTTGGGGGTCATCATCCTGGTCTGGAGGAGCAGCCTGCTTCCCTTCTGCCGGAGGTCCCCCGTCTGAAAGAAAGAAATCACGATGGACTGGTGGGTGTCCCGGGCCTCAGTTTCCCTGACTGCAGCTGTGCTCAGTGGGTAGACTCAGGGTTGTCAGCACTTGGCAGTGGCTGGGGACATTCTTGATTATCAAAGGCAGTGGAAGCTGCCACTGATATCAGAGCAGGATGCGCAGGACTGGGCCCCACAGCCCAGAACCCTCAGCCTGAACTGTCAGGCAGGCAGGGATTAAGAAATCCTGTGTAAGGCAAGGTCAAATTGGCTTTTTACTCATGGTGATCCTCCTGCTTCAGCCTCCAAGTGCTGGGATTACAGGTGTGCACCATCACATCCAACAATGCACTTTTAATATTCACATGCATGGCCACATGGGCTGGTGACTTCACAGCTGGACAGAGCTCCCAAGGGCCATCTGGGCTTACCAAGGACAGTGGGGGCAGGGAGGTGATCTTACCAGTGGGCTCTGACCCGGGACTGGACACGTCCTCACAGATGGTGCTGGCTGGAAGCTGGAAGGTGTCCAGAGGTGTCTGGCTACCTTCAGCATGGCTGGTGAGAAGAGGATAAGGTTGAGAGCTATGGGTTCCTGGCCACCCGACTCTGGTGACCCTCCTGTCCCACACGACACCAGCAGGAAGCACAACTCCCTCACTGAGGGCAGGCACCCCTCACCCAGATGCTGTTCTAGCCCAGCTTGGCTGTCTCTCCTGAGGCCATAGCCACTGGCCACGTGGATGCCACCACCTGAGTTTCTCCAAGATGCCCCATGCTTGCCTGACCTCAGCATCTTCCTTCTAAAACTACTGTCCCTCTCCCAGGCAAATCCAGAGACCTGGGCAGAAGATCCCCTTGTCCCTTTCCTGTAGCCTTGGAGTCTGGCATTTCCCCAAGACCTGCCCTGGCCTCCTCCCTGGCCCCCTTCTCTACAGCAGCAAGGAGACTCCAAAAATCATGACTCCGACTCTAAAGCCTTCCATGGCTCCCCAGTTCTCCTGAGACAAAAGGCCCAACAGCCATCTGCAAGCTTTTTTCTCTGAGCACTTAACCTCCAGCCCTTTTTGCTCCTGTTCCTCCTGTGAACAGCTCAGGGTGTTGGTTTTTTGACTCTGCTGGGCCCCCTGCTGGCAGTACCCTTTCCACACTGGGCTCCATCTTGCTGATCCTCCTGCCTCAGCCTCCCAAACAGCTTCAGCTTCTCTCCATGAGTTGTTTCACTCTGGGCCTACATGGCAAGAGCATCCCATAGCTCCCCAGTACCCCAGAGTTGAGTCTAGACCGTTGTGCTGGACTGGAGACTGCTGTGACCCTGTCCTGCCTCTCTCCCTGCAGTGACTGTCATTACCCCCTGCACCTCTAAGCCTCTGCTCTCACTTCCTGCTCCCTTCCCATCTACGTGTCCTGCCCCTGGAGGGCACCCACCCCAAGAGGGGCACAGCACGGCCTGTGACTGTCACCTGAGCACGTGGCTGACCCAGAGCACGTGGTGCTCCCCAGGGCTCTTTCCGCTCCCAGCCACAGTGGCCACGGACTGCAGCCACACGAAGCCGCCCGTACGCTGCAGCCAGCGGTAGTAACCAGTCATCACCTGGCCTTTGTCTAGCACTGGGCCCAGACATGGCGGGAGAGACAGGAAGGGATGGGGTGAGATGGAGGAGAGGAGAGGCCAGGGAGGGTGAGGCCAGCAGAAAGGGCGGTCAGGGGGAGAGGCCGGCGGCAGGCAGCAAGGGAGAGGTGAGGAGAGCCAGATGCGCAGGGAAGGAGACGGAGAGCAAGTCAGAGGAAGCAGAACTAGGTGGCAATGGGGCTCGTGGAGTCTGAAGGGTGGGTCGCTGAGACCCCACAGCCCGCCCCCATGCTGAGCCAGGGCTCAGTGTCCTCTAGCATCTTCCGGTGCTGACCAGGCCCCTCGAGCTGTAGGTGCAGCAGGAAGGACCATGGCCAGCTTGGAAGAAGGACTTCCTGGGGCCAGGGCAGCAGAGATGAGTGTCAGGGATGGGCCTCACGGTCCAGGTGGCTTTGGCGGATCCTGGTGGCATCCTGTCCATGGACAAACTGATAGCAGCTGCGGCCCACCAGCTCTGAGGGCCCCAGGTCCATGTGGTCACTGACTCTGGAGGTGACGGGCGAGAGGGGAGGAGCCTGAATTGGTTTCAGAGCACAAGGCCTTGCTCCACAATGCTGGGCATCATAGCGTCCCTGGGAGGGTGGCTGTGAGCATGTCCAGGGCCCAAGGCCAGGACTAGTTCGCCAAGTGCCCAGTGCCTGGTGCAGGCGAAGCAGCAGGGAAGAGAGAGGAGAGACGGGTTGCGAAGGGTGGGGCTCTGCAGACTCAGAGACCCCAGCATGACATGGCCCTGGTGGGCCGCGCAAGGCTGGGAAGCCTGGCTGTCACTCCCCTCGCCTCTGTACCGGCTCCGCCTCCTCAGCTTGCAGAACCTGGGACCCACGCTGGCCCTGACTTCCCATAGAATGAGGCTCTCCCGGGCACCCCCCCACACACACCTGCCTCAGCCCCCAGCCCCGGTACCTGCTCTCACAAGCAAGGATGGTGAGACCCAGGCTGAGGCGGAAGACGATCATGTGTCCATGGAGAGGCAGCTCTGCCAGAGGGGCTGGGGGCAACGTATGGCCCAGGGCCACAAGGCCCAGCGCACGGGCGCGCAGGCGCCCTGTCACGTGGATGACCTGCTGAGAGGCTGAAATTGGTGGAGGAGCAAGGGAGGCGGTGGGGGTGTCTGATGGGGAAGGCGGGGCAACGGGCTGGTGGGCTGGCTAGGGAAGCCAGGGGCCGTGGTGGCATGGTTGGAGGAGGGGCAAGGTGGGCCAGGTTCCATCCATCACCCACAGTTGGGGGCACAGAGGCTAGCGTGTGGCCCCCAGTTCCCTAAATTACAGCACCCAATGAAATCACCAGTCTGGTTCCCTTGGTTACACTCCAGGATAGGACAGAGTTGGCAGGAACTCTCTAGCAGCCAGGCACCCACCTTGTACCCCGAGGCCTTGACATGTAGCCCCCTCTTGGTGAGGGTGGATTTCATGCGGACAAAGAAGGAGCGTTCCTGGACCTGGGCGAAAGGGGGCGCCTCGGCAGGGCTGGCATCTGGGGTGAGAGAAGTGGTTATATGCCCCAAAGAGGAGATGCCGCCCACCTTCTCCCCACGATGTTTCTAAGCCAGGAACCCCAGAGGTTCTAACACTCGATGCATGCACTAACTCCTGGGCTTCGGGACCTGTTTGGGGACAGCCCAGTCTCCCTACTAAGACTTGGGCTCCCAGGGTAGTGGTGGGCTCCCATTGTGGTCACCACCTCGTGTCTCCAGCATCAGGCTTGTGACAGAGCAGGGGCCCCGGGAAGAGCAACAGATCAAACTCCCAAATCTAGATGATTCTGCGCCCTCATCTTGTGGTGTCATAGCTGCTCACAGAGGACCCCGTGCCCCACACTGTCACAGGCAGCTGCAGGCTTCTGGACACCTCCCTAGCCACTGCTGAAATGCTAAGCAAATCCAGTGCAGGGAGGCCCTGTCTACAGGACAGAGAGCCTCAAAGGCCCCAACACTGAACTAGAAGGCGTCCCATCCCCAGGAGGGTGGAAATTCCCACTGCAGATAAGGACTGGGGGTGCAGGTGCTGGAGTCAGGTAAATGGGCTATGGCTGTGGGACCTGGATGATTTGCTTGGCTTCTCCGTGCTGCGCCCTAAAACGGAGTGGACTTGAGCTGTGGGTTTGAGGTCAGGATCCAGTGCAAGTGTGGACATCCGGGAAGCCTAAGCACCCCACCTATTCAGCAGCCAGAGAGGTCTTTCTAAAGTTCATGTCTTGGGGGCGCCTGGCATTTTAGGGAGCTCGGGCGATTTTAGGGAACTGATTCTTACTGATTCTGGTTTGTTGTACAAAGCTTCGCTTATGCACAACTCAAGGAAAGGTTTTTGTTTTTTTTTTTACAAAGCAGGCTTAGCTCTATGCAAAGTAACTGGCACCCCCAGTCACACTCAGGCTTCATAATTTGGGGGACCCTTAGAATCACCGGTCTCCAGGCAGGAGGATTGCTGAGTTTGAGACCAGATTGTGCTACAAAGTGAGTTCAAGGCCAGCCTGAGCTGTAAGTGAAACTGTTTCAAAAAGAAAAAATAAAAAAGCATTACCAATCTCAGAGGTATCCGCCAGCGAGGAAGAAGAGGAGGAAGAAGAGGAGACAGAAGGCGGGGTGGGAGGGCCGGAGGTCGGGGCCCGCAGCCCCAGTTGCTCCAGCACCTCAGAGTGGTCCCCGGGGTGGATGTAGTCGAAGACGCTGCTGCCTGTCAGCTCCACCTGTCGGCGACAGAAGGGAGTGCAGGGGCGGCTGAGGTGCAACCCAGAATCAATGCCCTTTCTGCTAGTTTTGGTTTTTGTCTTTTTTTGTTTTTGGTCTTTTTTCTTTTTATCGGTACCGGGGATCAAACTCACGACTGCCTGCTTGCAAGGCCGGCGCTTATGCCGCTGAGCTAAATCCCCAGCCTCCCCTTTTTTAAAAAATTGAAACAATTTTTGGGGGGCTGGGGGTTTAGCTCAGTGGCATAAGCACCGGCCTTGAAAGCAGGCAGTCGTGAGTTCGATCCCCGGTACCACTAAAAAGGAAACAAAAACAATAACAACAATATTTTGATTTTTATCTTTTGTTTTTGGTATGAGGGCTGAACTCAGACCCTTCGCATAGTTCTCTATGCACATCCTTGCCCCTATAAACCGCTTTCCTTCCCTTTTCTCTTGGTCCAGATCCCCCTCCTTAGCTGGGCATGATAGCGCACACCTGTGATCCCAGCACTTGAACAATTGAGGCAGGAGGGTCTGGAACCCAGCCTGGGCAATTAGCGACTTAGTAGACCTTGTCTTAAATAGACAAGCACATAGATGGATGGATGGATGGATGGATGGATGGATGGATGGATGGGTGGATGGGTGGGTGGATGGGTGGGTGGTCTGGGAAATGCATAACTCAGGTGAACGTCCTGGGTCCAATCCCAGTACCGAAAGAAAACAAAATTTGTAAACTTTTAAAAAAGAACAAGTGTTGGCAAATATCTTGCATCTTGCCATCCAGTCATTGTTGAACTTATTTTTCAGCTTATTGCTTTCCCCAAACTGACCCAGTACAACCTCCTTCTCCATGACAAGCCACCAGGGTGTCACGTGGGATTCCAGGGAATAGATTTTGGGAACCACAGATCCATTTTTTTCCTTCCATGCTGGGACGGGGACCAGGAGAGAGCAAGGTGTGCACCGCCTGGGCGGGCACAGCAGCCGCGGGGGACCTTACCTGTGAGAGACCCAGGTAGATAGAAACGGTTTCGGAGATGTACAGGAATTTTCCTTCCTGGTTCAAGGCGAACACGAAGCCGTCCAGGGACTGCAGTCGGGGAAAACGGGGCAGGAATAGGGAGGATTCCACCCGCAGTGGAAGACCGGGTCTGAAGTCTGGGTCTCCCCTGGGGGTGCAGTAAACCAGGGTGGCAGGCGACAGGGGGCACAGCGTCCGCGCGCTGCGCATGGGTGCAAGAAGAGGCTGCGATTCCGAGAGTGGCCACCGGGTGGCAGCAGAGAATGGCGACGGAGCCTCACCTGCAGGATGTGTCCTCCCAGGTGCTGCTCGAAGATCTCGGAGACCAGAGCTGCGGGGCCCCGGCGGCCGGGGGCTGCGGGCGGAGGGAAGGGTGCGCGGAGCTGGTTGGTCTGGCGGACCCAGCCGCGGGCGATCCTGACGAGCCGTCCCACAAACCTCCCGAGTTCCTCCCGGCCTGTGGCTACCTTGGGGTACTTTGGGGCACCCAGGGTCACAGGGTTCAGTAGAGATGGGCTGGGATGTGGGGAGGGCATGCGAAGTGTGGGGTCCAGTGACAGGGTAACAAAGACGCATACACAGAGGAGGGCATAGAGAGGGATCCTCACAAGCTGCCTGAACCCTACTGTCCCTGTCCTGTGCTGGGCAGTGCTGGGGGCACAGCAGTGATCAGCACAACTCAGCTGCCCCTGCCTGGCTCGATGCCCGGGTAGATGATCACCAAGCAACGAACAAACACAAATGGAGACTGTTGCTGGGGTCCTGTAGGTTAGATGGCGTTAAAGAGCCTGAGAGCCTGCAACCTGTAATTCAGCCGTTGGGAGGCTGAGGCAAGAGGATCGCTGTGAGTTTGAGACCAACCTGGGCTACACAGTGAGATCAAGGCCAGCGTGAGCTACATAGCAAGACCCTCAAAGGCAAAACAACTACATAACTACACAAAGAGCTGAGGAAGTGAGTCTGTGTGGAGGATGGGTTCAATCCAGTACTCCCCTCCCCCCACAAAAAAAGGAAAAACAGCAAACAGTGGTAAAGAAGTGAAACAAACATTTTTTCCAAGGAAGATGTGCAAGCCGCCGATAAGCACACAGATAGATGCTCAGTCTCACTAGTCCCTAGGGAAATGCAAATCCTAGCTACAGTGAGACGCCACCTAACTCCCACCATGATGGCCATGAATGGAAAATAAAGAGATAAAGTAAGTGCTGGTGGCGGAGAAATGCATCCTCTCTGGCTGCTGGAGAGGGCGGTGGGCGGGACCAAGGCGGTGCGGAGAGCGGGCTCTCCAGGCACCCAGTAGACGCGGGGTTGTCACAGGAGCCTGCGACCCTTCTGCTAGATGTGTAAGCAGAAGCAACGCACCAGATTCAGGCTTGAAACAAACGCAGGCCCATGCACATCTACACCCAAAAGGTGGAAATGAAGCCCAGTGGCCCCACTGTCCAGTGGACGGGTCGTGGATCGCTGGGGTGGGAGCGGGGCTCAGCATGCAGGAGGCCTAGGTTCCAGCACCAGCCCCACCAAGGAAGGTTGAAGGTGGGCCCAGTGGCATGAGCTGTCATTTCAGCACTCTGGGCAGCTGAGGCAGGAAGACCTCAAGGCACAGGGTTCAGTCCCCAGCATTGAAGAAAAAAAAGCAGCAGCACTGGCACATATGTGGTACATGAACCACAGTGGGAAGGAGGTGCAGCTGCTTGGCAGGCCTGGGGACTCTTCCTGGGAGTGACAGAAATGCCCTGGAATAGAGGGCTGTGATGGACCCCACTGAATGCCACTGGTGTGCACTTTTTTTTTTTTTTTTTTTGCCTTTTTCCTTTTTATCGGTACCGGGGATCGAACTCACGACTGCCTGCATGCAAGGCAGGCGCTTATGCCGCTGAGCTAAATCCCCAGCCCCTGGTGTGCACATTTTAAAATGGTAAATCTTCACCAACCATGGCTGCACATCATCATGCCAGCACTTGGGAGGCTGAGGCAAGAGGGCTGCTATGAGTTTGAGGCCAACCTGAGTGACATAAGGGAGTTCAAGCCTGGACTGCATAGCAAGACTTTGTCTCACAAAAAGAGCAAAATGGCCAGTTTTGTTCGTTGTGTGGTTCCAAGATTGACCCGGGACTCTGCATTGAGCTACACACTCAGCCCTTTATTTTTATTCTTTTTTTGAGACAAGATCTTGCTAAGTCACTAAATTACCCAGGGGCTCAAAATTGGGCTCCTCCTGCCTCGGCCTCCCAGGATGCTGGCATTATAGGCCTGCACCAATATGAGTAGCTTAAAGTGGCCAATCTTACCTCAGTTATTTTTTTTAAAGATAGGGATAGAGACATAAACAGAGAAACAGGGGCAGAGAGGGAAAGGATGCGGAGACAGAGATTACAAAGGAGACGGAGGCAGGCGGTGCAGCCCCCAGCCTGTCAGGAGATTGGCAGAGACAAGGGGGTCTTGGAGCCCAACCACAACTGGGACCCCCCAGTACCCCTACCCTGCAGAGGATGGACCCCCCCTTCCCAGGGAGATCCGGTGCTCTGGTGAGGCCAGAAAAGGACTCAGGCTTCAGGGTCCTCAGTGCCTGCTTCCTGCTGGGCTGAGGGTGCAGGCTGAGGTCAAGCTCCTGTGCTGCCCTGCCCAGCCCTGTCTGTGCCTCTGTTTGCTCCACTGTGAAGTGGGTTTGCAAGGAGCACCCAGTCAGCTCAGCAGACAGAGGGGCCCAGGTGTGCAGCCTGGGGACTGGGTTTAGCACGTGCTGTTGTCTCCACCATAGCCTCAAAGCCCTAGGCCGCCCCTCTGGCATCCCCTTCCTCCAGGCTCTCCAGGCCTCTCCTCAAGAGAGCTGCGGGAACAATAACTGAGGGGCTGAGGGGGACCCCTCCCCCGAGATGCAGCTCCAGCCGCCCGGTGACAGGCGGGAACAATGCTGCCTGCTAATTGTCGCAATTTTCCCCTGTCATTTTTGCTAATTCTTTCATTTTCCCTCTTCTAGGATCAGCCCGGGTCAGACTGAGCTGCCGCAATTAATGGCATTAATGGGCTCGGCAGGCTGGGGCGCTGGGGCCTGCTGCTCCCACGCGTGGTCCCGTCCCCCCGTGACAGGGACCCGGCTCTGCCTGCGATTACGAACAGCTGCAGTCTTCCTGACCAGGCTTCTGCCTCAACTTCCAGCCCCCCCACCCCATCCTCCAAATTCACCCCACCTGGATCCGCCTCCTTCTGCAAGTCCCAGCCCCAAAGGTCACACAAGCACCCTGAGGACCCGCCCAGTGCAGGGAGGTGGGGAGGGATATCCCCCTGAGGTGGCCTCCGCTGTCCCCAGCCCCATCTGTGACCCAGGCAGGAAGCAGTGAGATCAGAAGGCACTTCCCTAGCAGACAGTGGGCACCTAATCCTTGACACCACTGTGAATGACGCTGGCCCTGCACCCCCCACCCCACCTGCGGGGCCCTTACCTCTAGCACAGGAGCTACATTGGCAAGCCCAGGGACCTGGGTGTCCTCATCCCCACCTCTACCAGCTCTTGCCACGACCCAGCCTGGTCTGCCCCTCCCTGGTCAGAACTCGGTAGGGTCACCACCAGTCCTTGACAGGTTGTCCTTGCTGACCTCCACCACCAACCTCTACAGGCTCCAGGTGGCAGCTGCACCAAGCAAGTGGGCCTGGTGGCCCTAGGGCCTTTGCATGGACAGTGCCCTGTCACTCACCCCTGGAATGGAATCTCAGCTCACAGGTCACTTCCTCTAAGAGTGGTGCCCAAGCTGTGATCTAAGATGTCACCTGACCTGTGTCCACACTCACCCAGCAGCTATGTACAGAGCCCAGGCACAGTTGGAGGCTCATAAGTGATGAATGGGAGAGGAGAGACTCCAGCAGTGTCAGCAAGCAGGAGAGGCACTGGGGTGGGGTGGTGGGGTGCTATGGAGGCAGGCAGGGCCTTTTGGGGAGAAGCCTGCTGAGCAAAGCAACCCTGGTGCTGGGCGGAGCAAGTGCAAAGGCCCTGTGGTAGAGATATGCTTGTCAAAACAGGTGCTGGAGAAAGCAAAAGACTCGGGGGCTGGGGATTTAGCTCAGCAGCATAAGCGCCTGCCTTGCAAGCAGGTAGTCATGAGTTCAATCCCTGATACCGATAAAAATGAAAAAGACCAAAAAAAAAAAAAAAAGACTGGCTGATGTGGGGAGGGCAGAAGGTCCATCCTGGGGGACAGGGACACTGACTGTTGCCAACAAATGGTGTGAACATTGTTGTGGAAGATGTGCGGGGAGGGGAGACAAGAAACTGCCCAGGAGATGGAGTCTTACTCCTTGCCAAGTTGGAGGCCCATGGCTAGACTTGAACAATTATTGTCCAGCCAGAGGGACCAGAGACCTAGGCTTGGGCGCAGCCTTGCAAGCCAAGGACTGTGTGTCCTAGGCAGAAAGCTTCCTCTGGCTGGGTCGCAGCTTTCTGTGTCTGTGATGGGAACCATAAGGGACCTACCCTCTGGGGTTTCTGCAGATCCAGTGGTGCTTTGTGTGAAGTGCTGGGCCTAGCATCTGGAAAACGCACTCTACCTATTTTATTTTAATTTTTCAGTACTAGGAATGAACCAGAACCCTCACACTGAGCTATATACCCAACTCCTTTTAATTTTCATATTTTGGGGCAGAGTCTTGCTAAATCATAAGCTGCCCAGGCTGGACTGGAACATACAATACTGCCACCTCAGCGTCCCGAACTGCTGGGATTCCAGGTGTGCACTGACACCCCGGTCTATACTATCGCTCTTATGGCTGAGGAGGACACTAGGGATCCTGTCTTTTCAGATGCTTGGTGTCTTTTTGAGGACCCCGCAGGGTCACCTCCCTCGGTTTCCTGGCCGTCCTGGCCACCACACGGGGCTGGCTGAAGGTGGCCGCATGTCACCCCTGTGCTGTGACCTCACCAGCAGCCTCTGGGTGCCCAGCCAGGTAAGGGGGGCTCCGGCAGCGCCCCTCCCCAGCTCGGGACAATAGACAAGATGTTTATCCCCCGCGGCGCACGTGTTGCTGGGAATGGCAGTAATCAGCCGCGCTAATGCGGCATTCTCTGCGCGCCAGTCATTTCGCCTAATTACCGCCTGCGAGGCCGATTATTTAAATTTAAATGGTGATTTATTGCGGGCTTAATCAATGCTATTTTCTCTCCCCCCTCCTCCCCTGGGGCCAGGGCACGAGGGGAACTGGAGCCCCTCCAACCCCACCCCGGGGACACCCTTTCCCTGCGCTGGGCACAGCCTGGGACGCAGCGTGCCCTGCCCCGGTCGCCGGCGACACCTTTCGCAGGGAGACACCAAGTAGAAGCGATAACGGTGACAATGGCACCCGCGGGTGTCAGGGATCCAGTCTGAGCGACGAAGACACCAGAGCTCCCCGCCACCCTGCCACCGCCTGTCTTTCGACACACTACCGGGGCCACGATCCCGCCGGCCACTAGCAGGGCCGCCTCTCCGGGGCCGGGACCCCGAGCGATGCCATCGGACGGCGCCAGACGCAATCGCGGGCCAGGCAGCACCTGCGACCGGACACAGGTGACTCGGCTCCGAGCTGGCCAAGGTCGCCTGTGCTCGGTCCCCTGGGGGAAGTCAGGGAACCGGCGCGTGGCCAAGGCCGCGCAGGCCCCGGAGCCTTCCCAAAGCCCCCACTCCCTGCTTTACCTCTCCCGCTCCCCCAAACGGGAACTCCACACTCCCTGCCACCCCTCTGAGGCCCCGCAGTCCTGGGAGCGGGGTCTCTCGCCCGTTAGACAGTGGACCCGGCGTGGGAACATACGCCTGTCTTCCCAGCACGCGGGAAGCTGAGGCAGGACAGCTGTGAGGGTTTATTTGATTTTTTTTGAGACAAGGTCTCACTGTGCAGTTCAGCTGGCCTTGAATTCACTGTGAGCTCAGGTTGGCCTTGAATTTGCGGTAGTCCTGCCTCAGCCTCCCCGAGTGCTGGGGAAGGGATGACAGGCGCGCACCACCACATCGAATCGCTGTGAGTTTGAGGCCAGCTTGGATTGTACAGAGTTCCAATCTCAGACAATCAAAACTCAAGCCCAAATCCCAATCCCGTTAGTGGGAGGGAGGCCTGGCTCCTCCGTGAAACTTTTCCTTTCGTAATAATAACGGTTCACCTTCCCCAATAAAATAAAAGCATTCCTCGTGGCGTGATCCCTGTTGCTGGATCCTACTTAGCCTCAAACTGACAAAATCGCCCTACTCGCGTGCCCATTTCACAGATGAGTAAACCGAGGCCTGGAAAGCTGCTGCCACCCATGACGCACAACTCCCGCAGCTAACAGGGTGGGGAGTGGCGCCGCGCATGCGTACTCACCGAGCCCGGCCGGGGCCCCCAGGACCCGCAGCCCCCAAGGCGGCGCCCCGAGCGCGGCGAAGCGGCGCAGGCGGAGGTAGGTGACGCTGAGGCGCACGATGGACGCCTTATCCAGCTGGCTGGAGATGGCGCCCGGCAGCGGGAGCAGCTTGGACAGCTCGAAGAACTCCAGGTTTTCCTTCCCGCGCCGCGAGCGCGCCGCGTTGCGAGACTTTTCCTTGCGCTGCGCCTGCAGGCTGGGCGGGTGGCACGGAGGAGGCGTCGCGGGCGGGCAGAGCGACTGGCCCTCTGGATGGGGCAGACCTTAGGGCCGTGGTGGGGACAGAACCTGGGGTGTGAGTTTGACTTCCTTGGGTTAGGAATGGGGAATAATTTGTGTTGTTGAGTTAGGGTCTTCGCGCTGTCTCGCAGTATGATCTCCGACTCGCGGCGATTCTCCTGCCTCAGCCACCGGATGGCTGGGATGACGGGCGTGCGCCCCCACGACCCGCTTGCAGAATCGCTGGTGGAATCCCGTGAGAGGGGACCGGCATCTGGACAGGTCAGGGTGGGAAATCCCAGCCGAGGGGCGGGACAGGAGGCTGGGGGGAGGGGTGCCCAAGCCGCGGGGTCTCCGCTTTAGGGGCGGGGCCGTGCTCACCAGGGTCCAGGCGGGGCCTTGACCATCAGGCCGGGCAGAAAGTCCCATGGGACGCTGGCGCCGCGGCCCACCCCACACTTGACCTCGCTACCGGGGCACGGGGTCGCCATCTCCGGAATCGGGTCAGGCGGGATCGAGGACGCGCGACTCGGGCTGCTGGGAGGAGTCGGGGCGGCGCTTAGTGCCCCGGGAAGACCTTTTAGGGAAACTGAGGCCCCTGTGGAGCCCAGGAGTCCAGTGAAGAGCCGGACTGGTTGTGCCTCAGTTTCCCCTTCCATGGCTGGGCACCGACACACTCCTGGCTCTGGCGAGGACGTGGCCAGCGCCGACCCCGCCCTCGCGCCCGCCTGCCGGCCGCCAGCGCCCGCCGCACGCCCGCGCCGGGCCGGTTCCCGCATACCAATGGGCGCACGCGGCGCGCATACGGATCGCACCGCGCTGCGTGCCAGGCATCGCCAAGCCAGCTGGCGGCGGGCGGGTGCCTCGGGGCCCAGCGGCCCAGTCCCGCATTCCCGAGCCCCCTGATCTCTGACCCCCAGACCTGCGGGGTACCTCCTTCCCAAGCGGGACTCAAAAGGTTGGAAACAGCGGAGCGCAGGGGCCCCCCCGCCCTGCTTGGGGAACCCCCCACCCCCAGTCCCTTGGGGGGTGCCACGTGTCCTGGCCCCCAAATTTCGGCCACCAATTTCCTCCCTGCAGATCCTAGCATGTGCCCCAGCCTCCGACGCCTCGGCCCGCGGCGCCCCCCATTTACACCCCACACCTGGAGAAGGGCGCCCTGTACCCGAGCACCAGGTCGCCTAGAACCAGGGATTGGATCAGGTGGTGCTCCCTGCTTCCTGCCCCCTCACCCCAAGCCTCTCAGCCAGGGTTCCACATGGATGCCCCATTGCCTGGAGTCTGGGTTCCTTGGCGCCCCTTTGCCAGCTTGGGGATCCAAGCGTCCTCACACTTTAGCCCCCAGGACGCACAGCTGCAGCTCCCCACTCCTCCAGCACCCAGGGGTCCCTGCGCCTTCTGCTGAGCCTCCAGGCGTCCCCTCCCGCGGGACCCGGCCCCCTAGCTACCTGTTCGAAGCGCAGGCTCGGGGCCGACCGGGCGGCGCAGGGGGCCGCGCCATAGACCCCGGGCGGCGAGCGGCTCTCGGCGTTAGCCGCCCGGCAGACTTGGAGACCGAGGACAGCGCCGGGGCGTGGCCTGGGGCCCCGCCCACCGAGACTCCGCCCCTGCTCGCGCCTTAGGGGGTCGTGGCCACCAAGCGGAGTACTGCAGATCTGGGGTCTGAATCCCTCATCCCACGGCGGCATCAGGGGTCAGGAGAGGCTTGTGGTCGGAGCTCTGGAGCTGCGACACCGCAGAAGCACTAGGGAGGAATCTGGAACCCGGCTCTCCCGGGAGCTCCGCGCCCCTGCAGTCCCGGACGAGGGAGAGGGGCGCCCGGCACCGGACCCCCGCGCGGCGCCCCCTGCAGGGTTGCAGGTCCATCCAGGCCTTGAGTCCCTTGCTCTCCAGAAGAGGACTCGGGCTCAGCACCGCCTCCCCGCTGAGGCCAGCGCCGGGTTTGGAGGCCAGAGTTTGGCGCGGGGGCGGTTTCCAACGCAGGTCTCAGGGGCTCCAGAACCAGGGTTGAGGGGTCTCCTTTCCATGCCCCTCCGAGGGACTGAATCCCGCCTTCAGGCTGCTAGGCACCTGGCGCAGGGCCCAGGGTCTCGCCAGCAAACGCCCCTGTGAAACCCCAATGTGGAAACAGAAATGGAGAGGTCTAGGAGGGGGAGGCTCCCGAAGAGCGTGGGCAGCACCCCTGGTTGGATCGAGGGGGAAACCGAGTCACACATGAACACCCTGTGCACAGTCAGGGTTTATGTCCCAGAGTCCTTTGCTCCTCAGTAAGGTATGCCTGGGCTCCTTCTGGATCTGTTTTAGAGCTGGGGAAGCAGACACCAGAGGCCACAGAGCCTGGTGACAGTGGTGTGGCCAGCACGGTCCCCGAGTGTCCCCAGAGAGAGTCAGTGTCAGGGGAGGGACTCGAGCGCCGATCTCGGGCTCCTGACACTTGCTGGCGCCATGGCCTGGCAGAGGCCGTGCCAGCCCTGGGCGGGGTGCACACTCCCATCTGCTTCCACCCAAAAGTCTGGCTGCTGGGGTTCAACCCCAGCTCTGCCGCTTATTAGGGAAGTCAGCTTCCCAGCCCTTGTTTCCTCCTCCATAAAAGGAGAACATTTCATCGCAGTGCTCATGGCCCCAAAACCTGTGGCCTGGGGCAGTCCTTGAGGGTTTCCACAGGCCTGGTTTTGTTTTTGTTTTTTTGGCATTGGTGGGGTGGGGGTGGGAGTGGTACGCTGAGTTCCTTGAACCCAGGACCGTGGCTCTGGGGTACATGCCCAAACCTCTTTTATATTGTTTTATTTTTAGACAAGGACTCACTAAGTCACGAAATTGTCTGGGGCAAGCTCAAAATTACCATCTTCCTGCTTCAGCCTCCCAGAGCACTGGAATTACAGATGTGCGCTGCCATGCCTGGGTCGTGTCATGTTTTCATACTGTGAGGTTTTCTGTCACCTGCGTCCTGTGGGGTTTCTGAGCCTCCTGGAGAAAACCCGATGGCAGAAGCACCCTGGAAAGCTAGTCAGCTCCTCTCCTCGAGGGCTGTCTGTGAGGGAGACTTTGAAAAAGTAAATAAAGCCACCCCTCTCACTGAATTACTTCTGTGTTGGAAAATTCATTTTTCATCAAATATGTTGTCTTGTAATGGCTTTGGGGTTTATTTGCTTATTTTTGTCCGCACTAGGGACTGAAACTTAACCTAAGGGTTTTGCAGTGAGCTACATTCCCTGTCCTTTTCACTTTCGATTTTGAGACACAGTCTCACTGAATTGCCCAGCCTGGACTTGAGTTTGTGATCTTCCTGCCTCAGCCTCCTGAGTGCTAGGATTACAGCTGTGCATCAGCACATCTGGCCATGAATATTATTTTTAAAAATGTAGGCGGGTGTGGTGGTGCATGCCTGTAATCCCAGCACTCAGGAGGCTGAGGCAGGAGGATTGCTGTGAATCTGAGGACAGGTTGAGCTACAAAGTGAGTTTAAAGCCAGCGTGAATTGCATAGCCAGACCCTGTCTCAAAAAGCCAAAAAAAAAAAAAAAAAAAGAGAGAGAGAGAGAGAGAGAGAGAACCAAGAGATGGAGGGAAGGGAGAAGAAAGGGGGGGGATGAAAAGGGATTGAGATGGGTTACGTGCTTCCCACAAGGAATGTGATCATTGTGCACTAAAAACACATATTAATGAAAAATTAAAAAATTACAAATACAGTAAAAAAAAAGCGTGAAGGGCCAGGGATTTGGCTTAGGGGCATAAGTGCCTAACTAGCAAGTGCAAAGTCATGAGTTTGATCCCTGATACAAAAAAAAAAAAAGACAGAAAGAAAGGCTGAACATCAGCTCAAGCTTTCAGGGTGGGTCAGCTGCAGAGCACAGGCCCAGCGCGTCTGAGGACCAGGTTGATTTTCAGTACAGCAAAAAAATAACTCAAACAGTAAAAAATAAGCTAGATGTGGTCGGTGGCACACGCCTGTAATCCTAGCACTTGGGAGGCTGAGGCAGGAGGGTCACCATGAGTTCCAGACAAGTTTAGACTACATAATGAGTTCAAGGCGGCCTGAACAGCATAGTGACACCCTGTCTGCCCCAAATAAACAAAAATAAAACCATGTCAGGCGAATGCTGAGTGCCATGGTGCAGGCCTGTGATCCCCCAACCTTGGGAGGTGAGGTGGGGGGATAGAGAGTTTGAGCCCAGCCCGAAACACTGAACAACTTTGTCTGAAAGTGAAATAGCAAGGGCTGAGCTGGCACTCAGAAATGAGGACTCCTGGGGCTTCCCCTGCAACTTCCACCCCCAAAACAGGAGTGTAAAGGGGCCCGGGGCCCTGGGTGCCACTGCCCTCACTGTGAACACGCTAGACATTATCCTAATGTGAGGACACAGTCATAGAGCAGCGGGTGTGGGAACACCTTATAGCAGCAGCTAAAAATAAGCTGTGACTGCTCCTGCTGCCTGTCACACACTCAGCCTGCTCAGCTCAGTCAGCCTCGACTCGTCCACCCACTCCGCTCAGATGACACACTGGGTCAACCTGTCTGCATCCGGCTGTGATGCCTGCGCTTTTCCTGACTTAGAAAAATATATACTGGGGCTGGGGATTTAGCTCAGCGGCATAAGCGCCTGCCTTGCAAGCAGGCAGTCGTGAGTTCGATCCCTGGTACCGATAAAAACAAAAAAAACAAACAAAAAAAAAAAAAAAGAAAGAAAAGAAAAGATAAATATATACTTACTGCAAGGACTTCACTTGTGGGACAGACTGGCTCCCCTCATACCTCCTCCTCTCCTTCCTGGACTGTTCCTACCTTACGGTAAATAATCCCTTGTAAGTAAATCTGCTGATAACTAGCTTGCCTGACAACCTGTGACTTATCTCATGTAGCCAATCACCTAATAACCTGCTATCAGCCTTGTACTTCCTGCTTGCAGAATGTATTTAAACCGAACTGTAACCTGACCTGGGCTGGTGATTTGGAACCAGCCCCCACCAGCCCACTAGTGTTGCCTTCCAAACTCCTGTGTGGAGCATTTTCCTTTTGGTTGAGGGTTTTTGTGAAACACTAATGCACCAGGCTCATGTGTACGTGTGTGTGTGTGTGTGTGTGTGTGTGTGTGTGTGTGTGTGTGCCACTCCCTTGGTTTTACCTGCTGATCTGTGACCTGGGTGGCTGTTCCTGATCTCTGTGGCCGGATGACAGCCTTTTGGGCAGGTTGAGTACCAGGCTACCCACATCTGGGAGCCCCGGTGTCTCCCAGAGTTTTGGGCTGGGGCTGAGGAGTGGCAGGGTTGGTGGAGCAAGGACCACTGTGGAGAGACAGCCCTCCCCAGCCTTGGCTGGCAGGGGCATTGGGGCATCAGAGCAGGGCATGGAGTGCATCCCTCGGAGGGGTGCCAGGGAGTCCCAGCCACCCCCACCCAGCTCCTGGCCTCTCAGCTGGCTCTCCTTGTCCTTCCTGTGCTGCACCCACATTTTCTGGTCAAACTACGGGGCTTTGATATTCCTGAAGCAGCCCAGAAGGGAAGTGATGGGAAAAGAAAGGACCGTATGCTCCCTTTCAATGTAGTGAGCTCCCTGTCACAGGGGGAAACCTGGGAGGCATACAAGCATTTTGGTATGTGCTGGGTGTGTATGTTTGGGGGTCCCAGAGACTTGGCTTAAACATACTCATCCCCCCTCAACTGGCTCTGGATCAAATTCTGGCCCTACCTGTGAACTTGAGCAGCTTCTTTTTTTTTCTTTTCTTTTTTTTTTTTTTTTGTCTTTTTCCTTTTTATCGGTGCCAGGGATCAAACTCACGACTGCCTGCTTGCAAGGCAGGCGCTTATGCCGCTGAGCTAAATCCCCAGCCCCCAGCTTCTTTCATCTCAGGGTCTCACTATCCTCATCTGTGAAATGGGGATAAGTAACAGTACTCCCAAGTAAATAATCAAATTCTGCCTATATCCACATGTATCTCAAAAATGGAATCTCAGCTGAGTGTGGTAGCACAATCCTGTAATCCTAGCACTTGGGAGGCTGAGGCAGGAGGATTGCCATAAGTCTGAGGCCAGCCTGGGCTACATTGTGAATTCAAGGCCAGCCTGGACTACAAAGCAAGAACTGATAGCAATGATTTTTTTCTATTTGTTTTTTGAGACAGGGTCTTGCTACATAGCTCAGGCTAACCTGGAATTTGAGATCCTCCTGTTTCAGCCTCCTAAGTGCTAGGATCACTATACCTGGCTAACATCTTATGCATATGGTGGGTACCTAGATGTCCACTTAATGGTCACTGTTATTATTTTAAACCAGGCTGGATTAAATGGTTGGATTCAGTTCATAGCAATGAAAGGGAGTTGGGGAGCACAATGTGGGCTGAGCTGTGTTTGCCCCAGGATGCCTTGCAGTCCCCACTCGGAAGGGACCACTTGAAGACAGGTGTGGTCTCAACAAAGGTGACAGAATTAAGGTAAGGTCATGAGAGTGGCCCCTAACGCAATCTGACCAACATCCTTACAGGAAGGGGAAAACTGGTGTGGTGACACACACCTGTAATCCCCGCACTCTGGGAGGCTGAGGCAGGAAGATTGAAAGTTTGAGCCCAGCCTGGCTGACTTAATGAAATCTTGTCTGAAAACAAAACATAAAGAAGGACTGGGGATGTGGGGGTGTGGGTCAGTGTGAGGGGCCAGGGTTCGATCCCAGTGTCATACACACACACACACACACACACACACACACACACACACACGAAGGCGGGTGGAGAGCATAGAAGACAGGCAGGCAGGGACCAGCAGGGAGGTGGCTACAAGCCAAAGACTGAGGGCCACAACCTGCAGGAAGCTTAGAAGTCAGCAAGGCAGGGGTCAGACACTCCTCACAGCCTGGCAGAGGGCTGCTGGGTCTCTGGGCTCCGGAGCCATGAGACCAAGGGTAGGGTGCTGCCCCATGAGCACCCCAGGAGCGGTGGCCAGGAGAGAAAGAGGTGCAAATGGCCACAAGACTTCTTTAATTAATTGATTATTAATTATTTTCTGCAGTACTGGAGACTGAACCTCAGGCCTTCTCACAGAACTACATCCTACCTGCCTTAAATTTTGAGACAGGGCCTCTCTAAGTCACTAAGTAGCTTAGGTGAAGTTTGAGCTTGCGATCCGCCTGCCTCAGTCTCCCAGAGTGCTGTGACTGTTGTAGGTGTGTCACCAGGCCAGGCTGGCAGTGCCATCGTGCAAGTGTTCAGGTGGGAGTTACGCTCCTCTCTTATGCCACGCCATATCCAGCCACTGGTCAGGAACTGGTCAGGCCTTTCAGAAGGCCCCCAGAATCCCCCCTGTGGCCACCTCACCTGCCCACTCTGTCCAGGCTCCCCTCACCTCTGCTTGTGCTTTGCCTCCTCCCTCGATGGGAGATGGCTCTCTCCCTCTCTCAGGGTCATGCCCTGCCTAGTGACCAAGGCTGTCTTCAGAATTGGAAATCAAGAACACACACTAGCTACTAGTGAGGCTGAGGCAGGAGGATCTTAAGTTCAGGCCCAGACTGGCAATTTAGTGACGTGTAGGACGCCGCCTCAAAATAAAAAATAAAAGTAGGGCTGGCAATGTAGCTCAGTGCAAAGGCCCTGGGTTCAGTCCCAGTGTGTGTGGGATGCTACGTTTCTGGGAACCCTCTGTCCCCTCGCGGACGCAGGGCTCCTATGCGCCCGTGTCCCCTCCTTCCAGCTCCTCCAGCCCTGGCCAGGTCTCCCTGCTGATCCAGCCCGCTCCGTGGCGCTGCAAAGTCTGAGGACTAACCTGGAACTTACTCCTGCCCTGCGAGGTCCCGGTGACTGGGTGGATGAGCAGCTGGGAATTGCAGGCCCCGCCCGGCTCCCGGGCCGCCCCGGGACGCGTGGCTTCCACTCGCCTCTGACCGGCGCCGGCTGCTCGGGGGCCCGCCGCTTCCAGCAACCGCCCGGGCCCGGCTCCCCTGGTGACCCCAGGCCCGGGTGGTCAGGACGGCGCTCTGCTACCCCCTGGTGGCCACAAGGAGGAACGCAGCGCACTCTGCTAGGCCGTGGCCTGGACCTGGTTAACTCCCAGCCAGGAGTAATGGACCATCCGCAAATGCTGTCGCCTTGGCTGTGGCCGGCCACCAGAACCCCGCCTCCTCCACAGGGGCCGCTCGCTCTGGAGGGATACAGCCTGACCTCCCACTGAGTTCCCGGGCGCCCCCTGCCTAAGGCTCCAGGACAGCTCACTGCTCTGTTCCTGATTGGTCTCTAGAATCTTGATTATTGTTTATCATGAATTTTCCCCCCCTGGTATTGGGGACTGAACCCAGGGCCTTCATATTTAGCTACGTGTCCATCCCTGTCTTTCTATCATGTATTTATCTATTTATAGTTTAAAATGAGGTCTTAGTAAATAGATAAGGTGCCCACCCCACACTGGCTTTAGGCTAGTCTCCTGCCTCAGACTTCTAGAGTACTGAGATTGCAGGTGTGCACCACCATGCCTAGCTTGAACTTTTTTATTTTTTGAGACTGGGTCTAATCTTGAACTTATTATGTTGCCCAGGCTGGCCTCAAACTCCTGCCTCAGCTTCCTGAGTGCTGAGATTATAGATGTGTGCCACTAGGTGAGAGTTGAACTTTGTTTATTTAGGTACCGAGGATCAAACTCAGGAACTCGTGCTTGCCAGGCAGGGGCCATGCCGCTGAGGTATACCCCCAGGCTGTGAACTTTCATCTTTTAAAAGATATTTCTGAGTTTCTTAGTAGAGAACTCCTCTCCAAACGGGAACAGACTTAGCCTGGAGGACAGGGTTAGGGTTAGAGATGTCCACCCTGCAGATGGGTGGACAGTGAGGTGGCAGGAGGTGATAGCATGTGCAGATGGCCTGCGGTGGGTGGGCCCTGGTCCAGGCCAAGAGGGCGCTGTGACCAGGGCCTCCCTGGAGCACGTGCAGAAGCCCAGATGCTGAGTGCCAAAAGCTTCCTGGGTGCTACAGGGGCAGATGCCAGTGAGGCTGGAACAGGCCAGGGTGGGAGCTCAGTGGGAGGCAATGAGGGGCTGCGGGGCGGGCAGGGGAGTGTGATGCCCCGAGTCTCTGGCCTGTGGGTGAACTGGAAGACATCGAGGTGTTGAGAATGCTGAAGTGTCAGGAGCTAGGCAGCACGGTGGCTCCATGGGGATGCTAGGGGCTGCAGGGACACCCTGGAGCACAGACCAGGACTAGGTAAGGCTGAACCCTGCGGGGGGAGCCGGGGAGTGGGTATAAGTTGCAGGCCCTGTGTGGTCAAAGGGGAGGCCTGTCTCACCGGCTGCCCAGGTGATGCCCATGGCCAGCAAGTGGTGTCCCCAGCACCAGGACCACTGTGTGCCCTTGGCTGTGGATTCTGAGCCACTCACTGTGTCCACTAAGGTGCCTCAAGTTTTTACTCCTGCCTTGGGTAAAGTGAAGGGGCACAAGCGCCTGCCTTGCAAGCAGGCAGTCGTGAGTTCGATCCCCGGTACCGATAAAAAGGAAAAAGACAAAAAAAGTGAAGGGGCAGGAGTAAGGCCTGAGGTCAGGTCGGAGCACACGGGGCACACGGGAATTAGTCAGGGCGGGGAGGTGTGGGGAGCACGGTGAAGAGGGAAAGGGGGAGGGCAGATCACTAGGACGGAGCTCCAGGGCCCTAGTGCAAGTCTGTAACCCTGGGACTGTGGGAGGCTGAGGCAGGAGAATCTCAAGTACAAGTGGAGATGCAGCACAATGTGAAGGCCTTTCTTGTTGGCACAGGGTTGTCTCTGGGGAAAGTGGCCCACGGCCATTGCTGGAAGAGCAGTCCTGGGTAGTGGTGGGGACAGCGCGATGGGCGTCCGGCTGCGGCAGTAGGCTGGCCACGTCCCTGTGCTTGCAAAGCCGGCTCTGGCATCAGGCGGAGGTGAGCTGGGCTCTGCCTCTGCCCGCAGCGCGGCCTGCACCCTGTTGGCACTGGGCCCTGAAGTGGGGTGGCTGCAGCTCTGGCAGGAGGCCCCTACATCTCTCTCCGCTTTGGTTTTTTACAAGATTGATTTATTAACTATGATACATTTCACATAAGGCCTTTTCAGTTTTTTACACCATTCCCATTGAGACAAGTACAATACTTGGTAGCAAATACATGATTTTAAAAAACAAAACCAAACAAAAACACCTCCTTCAGAAATGCCTCAGCCTTCGTGAGGGCTGACCATGCACTAACCAGGCTGGAGCCTCAAAACCCATGATGTGTTAAAGAAAAAAATGGAAATGAAGCCAACATTCCTAACACCAACTAGAAGAGGTGCTGGTTAAAGCCCCTAAAACACAAGAAAATAACTGTTATACTTTCTTTACATACAGTTCTCCACTTTTGCTGCGAAACAGAATTTTGGGCACATGGCCAGACTACTAACACATTTCAATACCATTAATATGCTTTTTTGTTTTTCTCAGGAAACTCAAAATATCTGTTAATTCAACATATATAAAGATCATTTAACATGTGAAAATACAAGTACCAGAAAAATAAGCTGGCAGCAGCACTATTCCAAATTTCAAACAAGTTTTATTCCCATACAATTTGGAGACATTTCTTTTTAAAATGTACACAGGGAACGTGATTTCTTGATGCAAACAATAACTTACGCCCTGTCTCCACTGCGCGGAAAGCTGTGGGTAGCTGTGGTTGAGTGTGACATGACCACTGGGAGGGCACAGGCAGGCAACAGCCCAGATGGCTCTGAGGGGAAGGAGGAAGGGGTCCCGGGCGTGCCGTCCTTCCTCTTCCCCACACCCAGCTCGGCCTGCACACAGCCCTTGGCCCCAGTGCGCCTACCCCTGGGACTGTCCGGACAAAGGGACCTTCCTGGGCCACTGCTGCCAGTGCAGCACAGCTCTGCTCACAGGACAGGGGGCAGGCAGCCAGAGCTCATCTGCTAAGAGGCTGCTGCAGGTTGCGGGGGCCTGGGGCCTAGGGAACCTAACAGAGGCTGCGGCCATCAGGGTGGCCTCCCCTCAGATTGGGAGGGAGCAGGAGCAAGCCGCTCCTGTGATGTCCCCTATAGCCGAAGTGGTGGAGACAAACAGCACACCAGAAGCCTCCAGAGCAGGGGAGCATGGGCGGGGTAGAGAGGGTACAGACTCATAAGTGCGCATTTCTCTGTGTTCCTCCCAAAATGCCATGATGGGGAGTGACAGAATGAAGTGGGGCATGGTGACACCAACCATGACACAGGCCAGCCCTCCCCTGCACAGCTGAGGACTGAGCAGAGTGCCTTCGGGCATGGCAGCAGAGCCCTCTGGCCACCACGGGTTGCAGGTCCATGGGGAAACACCTTCCAGAATCTGCAGCCTGATGGACACCAGGGCAGGCAGCATTCTGTGTGGCCAGCCTGTCCCCAGTCAGCATGGCCACAACATCATGGCAGATGAGTGACCATTTGCTGGCCCTTCAGCCTGGAGAAGCAGGAAGCGAGTGCAACACCGGCAGCTCTCGGCCACTGTCCCTAAGGCCAGGCTGGGCAGGGGCACCAGCGAGGTCCTTGAGGCAGCCCCCAGGATGTTGGCCCACCTTCCCAGGGGAGCTGGTGGCTTCTGCTGTGACTTCCCAGCCACTCCAGTGCCTCGGGACAGCAAGGGGTAAAAAGGCAGGGAACCCACCCAACACAATGCCGCTCCACTGCCACCTGCCCCACTCACAGCCCAGACTGTGGGGGAGGGTACATGTGCACCTCGGGCAGGTTCCTGGAGGGCTGCCGGACCTGCAGGATAAATTACCGTTTCCAAGCACCTTATCTGGCCCCCAGCAACTGGAGACACAGCCAGCATATCCAAAGGAGGGGTCAGAGGAGGGGAGCAGATGGGAGGTGTAGGGGGGCCTCTCTGAACTTGCCACACAAGCTGCTTCTAAAGTGCAACAACGGGGCGGGGTGGCGCAGGCCCCTCGGCCCCCTTTCCCACACCCGAGTACCTTAGTGTTAGGTGTGGTCCAGCAGTGAGGATGGACACTTGGGGGGCAGGGACAGCCAGCAGAACTGCTGTGCTGGGAGTGGGGGGAATGGGAGGGTCACAAGCGTGTCTGGGAGGCCAGGCAGGTGGTGACTGGCAGGGACAGACTCAGGGCCCTGCTGGCCCAGCGGGCATAAGGGATCCCTGCACACACCCCAGGGATCACCACTTCTCCATGGCCCACACAGCACACGCCCCGACACTCCTACTGGTGCCACTCCACCCCGAGCCCTAGCCCAGGCCGTTGGCGAGTAGTGTTTCCCCAGGGTAGTGTTAAAGCCTGGGGCCAGTCACCACCAGTGCCACCCAAGGGCTCAAACCATCTTCTTAGGGACAGGGCGCTGCCAAGTGGACACAAGTCAGGAGCAAAGGCCTGCAGGCCAGGCCATGCTGTCCGTCAGGGTGCCCTCCACCTGCCACAGAGCTGGGAGGGGTGGAGCTTGAGGTCTGTAGTGTTCTTTCTGGGAAGTCTTCTTTGTCTGCTCTGTTCTTGGAGGAGAGGGGTGCGCAGCTCCTTCCAGTGTTGCTCGGCTGTGAAGGGACTGTGTGCAAAGTCCTGGCAGGCATGCGCTGGGGACACGCACCCCTGGGCCAGGCCCAAAGCTCCCCTCCTGAGGCTCTGACTGCTGGGCAGGCAGTCCAAGTGGACCCTTGCTCCAGTGTGTGCAGATGTGGAGGTGGGGAGGGACAATACAGATGGGCGGGGTGCGTTCTCTTCAGGGTGCAGCTGGCTGGGGCAGCCTCATTTCGGGGTCCCCTGCTCCCTGGGCAGAGGCTGGAATGTCCCGGGAGCCAGCTCCACACAAGCTGGCGGCACCACAGGGCTGGTACGTGCAGATGGCAGAGGTCTAAGGAGCAGTGCCTGACCCATCTGGTCCCGGGGTCCACGTTAGAGGGCATGGTCCATCCACAGTGCTGCCGGAGGCCAGCAGGCCTACAACATTGCATGTGGGGTGCCTGAAAGCGTGGCCTGCGGGGGACCACTGGACCATTGGACCCTGAGGTCTTGAGAAGATGACAGGGCCAGGCACCCCTGGCCTCTGCTCTGGCCAGCAAACTTGGTTTTGTTCAAGACCCAGCGCCGCCCTGTTGCAGGGAAGACTGGCTCTCCTGCTGCCTGGGTGGCTCACAGCGTGTGTTCAGCTTGCAGCTGCGAAGGGAACAGGGGCTGCATTGGGGACTGAGGGGTGGGCGGGGGCGACTGAGGGGGTGATGGCTGGCCTGGGGCCGGCGTGGAGGTGAGGAAGGGGACGGAGGGAGCCACTGCTGAGGGGGAGCTGGGCACGGCGCCGGGGGGCTCGCTGATGGGCCGGTTGTAGAAGAAGAAGGGGCACTGCTGGATGAAGAGCTCGATGATTGTCTGGTAGGTGCGTGTGGCCGTGAGCGCGTCCATGGTGCTGAAGTCCGGCCTCATCAGCGTGGGCCAGAAGCAGATGGAGAGGTTCTCACTCGTCATAAGGTTTACCTTGTTGTTGTGGCTGACCCTGCAGGTGACATCAAACGCAGTCAGGGCCCTGCCTATGCCCCCAGTCCTCGTCCAGAGCTGTCCTCCCTGCCTGTCATCCCCACGCAGCCTGGAGCTGCCCCTCTGCCGAGTCCTGGCTCGATGGACAATCTGGTGTGACGTGCCTGGCTGTAGGCTACTTGGGAACGCTGCTGGCTACCAGCAAGCTCATGCCAAGGTGACTCTTGGGAGTGGCTGTTCTGCCTGCAGCACCACTCCTGGGGTGGAAACAGAGGGGACTGTGGGTACCACTGGGACTCATTTCTGGAGAAGACTCCTCCTTGTCTTCTGCTTTGGAGGGAGCAAGGGCATAGATGCCACAAAGTGCCCTGCAAGCTTGGCTAAAGTCAAGCACAATAAATAAACAAATAAATAAATAAAGCCAAGCAAAATCTGGTGCTGGGCACGCTCAGGGCCATCTGCATCTCTTCAGGCCAAGATGGAGACCTGAGAGTCACTGTGGGAAGCCACGGTGTCCAGGGAGGAAGCCAGGCAGTGCCCGTGACCCCCCGCCCTGCACCAGGCTGAGAGGGAGCCTTGCCAACAGCTCTTAACTGACCCCGGCTGTTCCCTTCTTCCACCTACTTGTTCAGGTGAGAGATGATGTATTTGAAGACTTCGTGGTTTTCCTTTGGGAACCTCTTTAATACTTCCTTAAGGGCATGTAACTTCTGTTCTCGGTCGTTGATTTCTGACAAGACAAAATCAGACTTTTATCACTACAGCTGACTGGGCGTCCTGTGTTCAGTCAGGACCCATTGGAGGACCCATGCATGGGCTGGTGTGAGGGATTCAGACCCTCTGGAGAGGGAGGTCATATGCACCCATGCTGGCCTTCTCCCCAAAGCCTGTGCCCACAGCTAGCACACCTGCAGTGGCATGAGCCCAGCAGCAAGGCTCACTTCTGTGTCCCAGGCCCCAGCTGAAGTGTGGTACTGTGTGCTGGGGTTTCCTGCCCCCCCCACCTGAAACGGAACCATCCAAAGACTCCACCATAAAGAACGCCATTCTTTGCCCCTCCGGTTGCCCCTGGAGACAGGCATCCCAATGCAGAAAGACTGCCTGCTTCCTAACCACCTATCCATGACAGCAGACATGTAGGGAGGGCGCCTGCCATAAGACCAGGGCTCTGTCCTTTCCCGGGGTCCCAGGGAGCCTCCATACATTGCCCAGTGACACTTGGGGCTTGTGGGAACAGTGGCGGATTCTTATACAGCTCATCATAAGGGCCTTGCACCCCCCATCCCCCACTGCTGCCTACACACTACCCACTGAGGAATTCTAATGTGCTGGGAGAAGGAAGCAGACTGCCCTGAAGGAAGTGCAAAATCATGCCAGACCCGATGTGGTCAGAATTTGGAGGCAGGACAGTTCACCACATTTGAAGCATAAGGAATCAGGTGCCCAGAGGTGGCAGAGCTGAGTGCCTGGCCCTGGAGCCTGAGCTGTGATCCCGGGGCTCCCTGGTGCCCTGGCTCCCCTCCTTCAGTGGCCTGGCCATTGAGGCCGTGAAGCGGATCTAGCCCAGCACCCACCTGAGCCAAGGCAGAGCTGTCTGCCCCAGATAGACTTCCCTGGAGCTCCTTCAGAGTGAAGGGCAGCTCTAGAATGCCAAGGCTCAGGAAAGTCACTAAAGGGCCCAGAAGGAGAGAGTGGCCATCCATAGCTGTGGGCCAGGGCTTCCTGGGGGCTTGTTAAAAACCACAGCGGGCTGGGCGTGGTGCCACACATTTGTAATCCCAGCACTCAGGAGCCTGAGGCAGGAGGATCACTGTGAGTTTGAGGCCAGCCTGGGCTATATAAGCAAGTTTGAAGCCAACCTGAACCACACAGTGAGACCTTGTCCCAAAAAAACCAAAATCCAACCAAACAAAAAACTCCAAAACCCCTACAATGGTTCCTAGTGGGTTTGGGTGCACAGGCTTCTTGGACACCAAAGAGAGCCCTGGATGCTTGCCCTGCAGCTGTGCCACGGCCCTTCCTGTCCCAGACTCCTGGAGGCTCACGGATCTTCCACACTGTGAGTTTGTGAAGGCTACAGCCTCCTGGGTAAGAACCTTTGCAGCAGGTGACACTCAGGAGCAAGCTGGGCAGGGCTGAGCAGAAAGGAAGGTGTGCAGAGGTTCAGAACCCAGATCCCAACTTGGACGGTCCTGGGTACCAATCTTCTTTCTAGTGTGTGACCCTGAACAAGGACACCAGAGTGTCAGTTAAGAGCAGAGCTCAGGGCGAGACACAAGGAAAGCATAGATCAGCCTAGGCTGGCAGGTGTGTGAGAGAGGCAAGAGCAGGTAGAGCTTTGTTTGGTCTGAGAGTCGGGCCTGGAGCATCTGTTAGGAAATGATTAAAACCACAAGAAGTAATATAGAACTACGATCAGCCTCATTCTCTGAACCGGAGATTCATTTTAAGGGTTCAACCTCAATAGCAGATTCTTGGCAGCCCTTACTGTTTTTTCTTTTTTTTTCCCTTTTTATCGGTACCAGGAATCGAACTCACGACCGCCTGCTTGCAAGGCAGGTGCTTATGCCGCTGAGCTAAATCCCCAGCCCCTCTTACTGTTTTTTCAATGAAATTGGCTTAGCAAAAAATAAACTGGAATGGGCATGGTGATGCATGCCTGTAATCCCAACACTTAGGAGGCTGAGGCAGGAGGATCACCTTGAGTTCAAGGGTAGCTTGGACTACATGGGGAGACCCTCTTTCAAAAACAAAAACAAAAACAAAAACAAAAAAAAAAAATGGAAAGAAAAAAAATCTGCTACAGGGAGGTCAGAGATCATTTTAGGAAACACAATAAGGCATGTGTACTATGCTTCAAATTCCGCTTAATAAAATAATCAGGCCCCCTTCCTGATGTGGGTGTGCAGGTCTCTGTAGGTGCCTGTGTGACACAAACACAGCTGTGTTTGCTCTAATCAGGTCCTTGAATGGCAGCACCTTCGCAGAACAGCAGAGTCTCAGTCTAGCTGAGACAGGAAGCCAGGCTGGGTAGGCCACAATCTGCCGGATGCCTCCTCTCCTTCCTACCCAAGGAGCAGCGAAGATGGGGCTTCCTCTCTTTCCTCCTTGGGGCAGTAATGGAGCCGTGGGAGGAAGCCCAGCCCTCCTCCATCCAGGCCTGCAGCGTGGAGCCTGATGAGGGGCTGGTGGCCAATGTCTTGCCCTTTTCTTCCCTTTCCCCAGCCTTGGCCTAGGACTCAGGAGCACCTTGGGGAGAACCTGGCAAAGCCCAGCCCAGCCTCCCTGCAGGAGACCAACCCTGCCTGTGTCTTTTGGGCCTGACCTCCTTTTCCTCTCTCTCACAGAGCTCACCCCAGCCCTCCAAGTCCCTTTCGGAGAGAGACTGACTCTAGGCCTAGACTTCTACATGTGTAGAAGATACCAGTGATGCCCGATTTTGCCAGCTATGGGAGCATTTCACAGCTGCTCTTGGGGAGCCTCGCCATGCACTGGGTGGAGAGAAGAGGGCCAGACTTTCCCCCATGCTGGCTGAGAGGCATTCTCAAGAAGCCCTATTAAGACTAAAGGCTGGTGGCAGGTGGGTGGGAGGCAACCCCAGGCCAGGCTCCCAGCTAAGCCGTGTGCTCCAATCCCAGCCTTGCTTCCAGCTGCAGAAATCTCTTGAGAGAAGGGATGGGGTCCCACACAGCCAGCAAGAAAAGTACATGGGGGCATTCTGGGCCCAGGTGAGTCAAGACCAAGACTGGACACAGTAGGTGTCTGAGAGTTATGGGACTCCAGGAACTTAGGAGGAAGTGGTGGGGACAGTCAGAGGCCATGGGAACCTTAGACAACCTCTATAGTACAAACTAGGGCTCAAAAAGGTATAAAAACTGGCCCTAAGTCACCCGGGCTGGTGGCAGGATCCCTGCCCTGGCAGCCTGCCATCTTTGGCCCCAGGCTGCCAAGCCAGTGTTCAGCTTGATCTGCTGCTGCCCCCTCAGTGCCTGGAGTGCCCTGCACACCCACATCACAACAAAGAGAAACAGCCTGGCTCAAGGCCATAAGCACTGGGTGCAGCAGCCAGTGTGTGAACTGCCCTCTCCCCATAGTGGCAGGTGACTCCAAGGCCAGGCTGGGATCTCATTGCATGTGCCTGGAACGGAAATTTCAGGCTGTCTTTCTGGAGGTGACCTTGCAACATGTCCGCTGTCCCACAAGACTGAGGAGGACCATTGTACATGGAGCCTGGCACACCGGTGTATCTGTGAAATGTATAAGGCTGGGTCTGGGAGTGAGGGTCAGGCAAGAGGAAGGCAGAATCCTAGAATCGGCAATGTCACGGGCAGTGGGGGGAACAAGAACCCTAGGGTAGCAGAGCTGTCTGCCTGCTGACTTTGGCAATGGGACTTCTCTTATCTCTACCTTAGGCTGTCTCACCAGTCAAAGGGGAAGGGGAGGATGGTAAACCAGTAGCCCAAAGCATGCCCCCCAACAATCTGGTAAAGCCAGTGGCCTTTTCCCTAGGCTACAAAGTGCAGATTTACAAGCAGTTTTAAGGGTCAATGGGCACCCTGTGGCTAAGGCTGTATCTAGAACTTCTGGTCTAGGATGGAACCAGCTGTGGGAACCCTGACATACAAAAACTGTCAGACAGTGGTTGGGGACTGGAGTAGGCAGGGAGGTAGAATGGGGAGAGAGGAGAAGGCAGATCCAGGCAGGAAATCTTCCTACACCAGGTAAGGGATGAGCAGGGCAAAAACAGGTGATGCAAAGGCTTCTCTTCATCTCCTGGAGTCTTGGTCCTGGTCCAACCATGGGCCACAGCTCAGGCCCTCCCCTCATTCCCTACTCCCCACGTGGCCTGCACTTCTTGCTCTGCTCACCTTACTGTCTGCAGAGAATATCACTGCACCGCTCGCCATTCCCTAGCAGGTGGTCCTGGGCCTTAAGCTGAGCTGTGATCCCTCCGAGAACCTCAGTTTCCTCTTCCACCAGCCTGACGGTGCTGCCAAGAGCACTGACACCTTGCAGATAGCCAGGCCAGGCACCCCACAAGCAGAGGTGAGCTCTGACTGCTGCTGCCACTCAGTCCTCAGTCCACTCCACGTCATTCTCAGTGTGGCAGGAAGACAACTAGTGAGTAATCACAAAAACCTCTACTATGAGGGCACATTTTCAACAATGTTCAATATTGTGACATTCTGTTGCTTACAGAACAGTGAGATAGCGACCTTGGTGCTTGTGATGAAGGATGTTAAAGCAGGCCCAAGCTACACCCCACAGACACAGCTGCTCTTAGATATTAAGTGGAAGGAGCTGGTCAAGTTGATGTTGCTATGGAGACACAATCAATCTGGAAACAGCTATATTCGGGCATAATGTCCTCTGGCACTAACTTCTGTACTAGCCGGTGTCTCTGGCTCAGCTACCCCTGCTCCTTACAGCTATAGCCACTTGTCCCTCGGTTGCTTCAGCTGTGAGAGGGGCCGTGACAGTAACAGCCCTCCTCCCCCATTCTCTTCTGCCAAGTCCAAGGACTGCGGAGAAGCCTCAGATGACTAGTGCGGCACAGGAAACTCACAATGGGGAGAGGAAGTTGGAAACCTCCACCCTTTTCCAGGCTGCCGCAGCAACCTCTTCGGCAGTGAGAGCCCCATATAAGTGGTGCTGGAGGAAGTGGGGCTGGCTTGCTATCAACAGGACCTCCCCAAACAAAAAGCTGCCCTGTCAGCACTTCCCGTGGAGACAATGGCTATCTGCGGTGTGCCAGGATCCTGCATGCCTCTAGATGGCGCCAAGGCAAGACAAATGCAGAGGCACCCAGGCCTTCCAGAGGCTGAAGGCCAGGCCACACCTTTCCCTCTCCCAACTTCTGTTCAGAATGGACCCTGGGCGAAAAGCTGAGCAAGGCCTGCTTCAGAGATTTCCTATGCTTTTCACTGCAGCCTGCAGGAGAAGCCAGCATGTGTCTCCACCCCTAAGCCCAGTCTTCAGGGGCAGGTGGGAGGGAGGACCAGCCCTGTAACAGGCTCCCAAGTGTGATGCAGTCTTGCCCCTTCTCTGTGGATGAGGTAACCTGAGAGTAAGTGAGGAGCTGTGACCAACTCCATGTGGCTCAGCCGCATGGCCAGAAGCAGGGAAAGGAATACTCTGGCTGCAGACAGGAGCAACAGGCGAGATGCAGACCCTGGAGAGGTGACCTTGAGGGCAGCTTAGTGGTCTCCTCTCACGATGGGCTTCCTCAGCCTCTACTTCTGATAGAAGCCACCAGAAATGTGGGACCCAGACTCAAGGGGAACTGAGCCATAACCTCTAAGTTCTGCCTCACCACCAAGCTTGTGGGCAAACAGCTTGTTTCAGACTCCTCCTCTGAGTTGGCCAGTGACAAGATGAGCCCAATGACCTGAGACATGTGCCTCCTGTCCTCTTTCCAGGCCACCTCCTTCTGCAGTTGCCAGGCAACGGCTGCTTCTGGGTCCTGGTCCTGCAGTGGGGCCAAGTCAGAAGCTGCCTTTGGCTAGAATAGATAGTGTGCCCATGGGGCAGCTCCTAGAGGTCAAGGGAGATGGCACGCAGGGACTGCCATTGAGACCAGAAGGGCAAGTGTGCCACAGCACCAGGAACATCTGGTTGGGGCCATGGGAACTGTCCCTTTCCCCCAGAGTAGCTTTCTAAGGAGCATCATGGCCTCAGATGTTACCTTCCTCCCACGATGGGTGGGAAGGCAGGGAATGACAGGAGGAGAAGAAAACCTGCTTACCAAGGCAGTCCTGGCCAGCCTTGTTCACAGACCTTTCTGAGCCTCCTTTCACCCACAGCAAGGGGGGTGAGGGCAGCAGCCAACGTTCAGGCCTGTGGGGTAAGCTGTCCACAACTGAGGGGAGTAGGGGTTTGACCAGGCTGGACATCCAAACCACATGCTTCACAGACAGGGAAAGCTGCTGCTGCCCTGGTGAAAGCCTCAGAGCCCACCTGTGGTCTGCTGAGGCGGGGCCTAACTGGAAGAGCCTGGGCCTACTGGCTACTTCCTCCTCCTGCAGCCCATCTAACCCCCCACGCAAGGCAAGCGCACCTCTGTTGAGGGAAAGACCTCTGTTGAGGGAAAGACCTGTCTGTATAGTGTTACACCCCGTCTCCCACCAGTCCACCCAGGCCAGACCTGCTATGCAGCCCAGAGACCTGGCCCTGGGGCGTTGGTACTCACTGTGCGCCTCCACCAAATCAATCTGCATGTTGTATGGGACCAGGGGGTCCGGCAGTTCTGAGAAAAAGCTCTTCATGGCACCAGCCACAGTATTTACCGTGAAGTCTTTCTCTGCCAAGTCCAGGTTGTGGTCTGAAAGGAAGTCAGGAGAGTGAGGCTGGACTAGCCAATGCTAGGCAGAAACAACAGGGGCACTCAAGGGCCAGGACACTCGAGGTCCAGGAGATGCCAGACAAAACTCAGGGCACTGGGATGCTAGAGCTGGGCAGGGATTCCAGATTAGAAAGGACTGCGGAGGAGGTGGCATGTGTGAACACTGCTAGAGTCTGAAACTTGGCATGGTGGTGCACATCTGTTATCCCAGCACTCAAGAGAGGCTGAGGCAGAACGATTTCAAGTTCCAGCCCAGCCTGCTAGGTAACTGAAGAGGACAGACCCTATATTAAAAAGGGGGTGACCTCTGGGTTTGTAACAGGATACAGGCCCCGGGTTTAATTTCTAGTTCCATGAACATAAAAACAAAACTGATCTGTGGTTGAAAGAGGGAAGTGAGCTGGGGATGCCTCATAAGCAGGCAGTCGTGAGTTTGATCCCCGGTAACGATTAAAAAAAAAAAAAAAAAATTTGGGGCTGGGAATTTAGCTCAGCGGCATAAGCACCCACCTTGCAAGCAGGCAGTCGTGAGTTCAATCCCTGGTACCAGAAAAAATAAAAATAAAAACAAAAACAAAAAAACAAAAGAGGGAAGTGACTCTAAGCCTTTCCAAGGTTGCTGGATCTGCTGCTTCTTGGGTAAGGGTTGCACCATGGTATCTCTGAGCTGCGTGGCTCCCTCCCTGGCAGCAGTATGGGGAGCAAGGCTGCTCACTTCCCACGTGTGTCCCCAAAGTGTGACAGCCACCTTGGTGACTGGCTCCATCTGTACCCTATGGCTGCAGAGCTTGGGAGATACCATGGCTGCGATGACGTTGCCTCCAGCTTTCTCTCTTCCTTGCATTCCTCACCCTGTGACGGGCACTGCCAAGAGTCCATCTTGGGAGCTGTCAACTCTTCAGACTCTTAGACTCTTGCCTCTCTTGTCACAAGCTACCTAACCATGTTCCAGCCACTGGCACATGTGACTGTGGTCCCATGAGATGGTACTGCCTACTAACAATGTACTGAGCACACTGCGAAACAAGCCCAGGTGACAGAACACTGGAGAATACAATTCTCAGAACACGTCCCTCATCTTTGGTGACAGAAGACTAAGTGCAATTTCTGAGGCAGGGCTCCGCCTTAACTTTTTTTTTGCGACAGGGTCCTGCTAAGCAATTCAACTTGCCTTGAGCTCACTTTGTAGCCCAGGATGGTCTCAAACTCACAATGATCCTCCTGCCTCAGCCTCCCTGAGTCCTGGGATTACAGGGGTGAGCCACTATCCCTGGCTCTCCGCCTTAATTTTGTTGTTGTTTGCAGTGATAGGGCTGGCAGGAGCACTAAGCAAGTGCTCACCACTGAGCCACGGCCCCACCCCTCCACCCTCCTCTGACCTTAGTCTCCCAGATCCTAAGAGCAACAGGGCTTCTCCTGTGTACTCACCACAGCCTGCCACAGCTGGCTGGGACTCACAGGAGTGTGTGAGGCGTGTGGTGGGGCTCAGTCTTCCCTTCTGTGGCCTCTGCTGGCCTCCTTCCCTGCTCACTGACCACCAGAAACTTTTGCTGCCCTAGGCTACTGGCTTCTGGCATGGGCTGGTGTGGTTCCTCACAGCCAAGCAAGTTCAGGAAAGGAAGCTCTGCTGTGAGCCTGTATGGTGCAGCCCAGCCCCTGATCCTCTCTTCCAGCAAGCTGGGGTACTCCCAGGTCCCTGGGATCAGGACCAACATCTCACCCAACTTCTGTGTCATGTCACTATAGTCAGAGGGATGGCATGTGTCAGCCCACCTGGAGCAGTGTTTCTGTGTGGTGATGTGGAGAGTGGTCTGGCGCGGGGACTCGGCCTTGGCAGGCATGCTTCAGCTGGCTCACAGGTTGGCTCTCCATGTAAGGCATTGCCACCACAGAGGCAGAGCTACCTGGGGTCACATGTGGCCTCTTTCTCTGTCTCTGAGTCTGTGTGCTCTGGCTGTGGCTTTGCAGGAGCACCCCCTGCCCCATGGGCAATGGGGGCTGTGCCATTTGCCCTGCTTGGCTCTGGTAGCCAGGGCCTGGCCAGGGGCACCTTACCTTGGTCAAACTGTCTCTGCAGACTCTCCATTTCGGACTTGTTCCCACTAACCCGGTAGATGCCTTCCGTGCTCAGTCCTGAGGGGAAAGAAACAGGTAGCGGTCCCGTTAGCGGTTGGGGCGCAGGGAACAAGTATACACACAAGGGATGAAGGGCACCAGATGCCTACCACAGATGCTTTAATCCACTTCCTATTTTCCTTATCACTTAAAAATTTTAACATGGCTGAGTTTGGTGGTATACTCCTATAATCTCTGCTACTCAGGAGGCTGAAGCAGGAGGATCAAAAGTCTGAGGCAAATTTGGGCGATTTGGAGAAGCCCTGTCTCAAAACAAACAAAAAAAACGAGGTTGTAGGTATACCTCAGTGCAAAGGCCCTGGGTTCAATGCTTCTTTTCACAGAGTACCAAGGAATTATGTTAATGTTATTAATGTTAATCACCTACTGCATCACTTGTTTGGAGACAGGGTCTCTATGCTGCCCAGCTTGGTCTTGAATTTCTAGGCTCAAGCCACAGCCTCCTGAGTAGCTGGGACTATAGGTGTGTACCACCACACCTGGCTCCTGTTTTTTTTTTTTTTTTTAATTAAATTTTTAAAATGTATACAATGCAAAAATTTTTTTGGATAGGGTTTGGCCTGGAACTCAGTGATCCTCCTGCATCAGCTTCCCAAGTACTGAGATTACAGAAGTGCGCCACCACACCCAGCTATGATTTTTTCAAACTGCCATTCTCCTGGAATTTATTTGGTGTACACTGTAAGGAAAATACAATAGTACAAGTCAATTGCTTAAATGATATGGAACATAAAAAAACAAGTGACAGACTGACTGTGGTCCCTGCCCTGGGAAAGAGGTCATGCTGCTTAGTTTCAGGTGGACCCTGAGCATTGTCTACTGAGCTCACTCTCCTGTCCCAGGGATGGAAAACATGGTTCACCACCAAGATCATAAGTCTAAAGGGCAGTGACATCATTGTTAAAAACCAGGATGGGATCTGCTGATCAAAGAAACTCTGGGCCCCTTGTGAAGAGCTTGGTCCTAAGCACTGCTCGCTTGCTGAGGACATTACCTGGTGCCCACCACAGAGCACGTGGGCAGTGCAAGCAGCAGAGGGAGGACCAGGCCTGAGGGAGTGGGGCTCGAGAGCCTGGGGTACCAAGGCCATTGCTAGTGTGGCTGCTGCGTCTGTGTGTTCCCATCTCGCAAGAGCAAGGCAGTCACTCTACCTTCAGGGCCTCAGTAGGTGGCAGGTGAGTGCTGAAGAGCAGTGGCACAGAAGGCATCAGTTTCCTGCTTAAAAGCTGTTAACTGCACACAGGCCTCTCACCCAGAAAGGGGCTAACGGCAGCCCCCAGGATACCGTGAGCGACCAGGCGCTGCCCTGGCTGTGCTCTGCTGCCACATGCTCCTCACTGGAGCAGGGCCCTGCTGTGTGCCACACCCACCATGCACTTAGTCATAAGTCAGGAGGCCACCACCATCCCCACCCCAGGGAGGTGGGGACAGAATACAGCTGTGAAAAGCAAGGTTTATGTGGGCAGGCGAAGTCCTTGCCCCAAGCTGCATGGCTGCAGGGTGGCCTGTTTGAGCCACATCTGCACCTCTGCACTGTTCCAGAAACCCCAGCTTAGCCTCATGTACTTTGCTGTAACCCACTGGGCTGGCTCTGGCCCACAGTGTCCCCAGGAGAAGTCCCACATGTGCTAAGTTCCCGGGCTCTGCATGGCTACTGGGACCATTCACCACACTGAGTCCGCACAGCACGCTGACCAGGGCAGCGTCCCTTGTCCCTCAGTGGCTTTTCTAAGCTGTTCTCAGATGTGTGTGAACTTCCTACCTATTTCGCAGCTGAGGTGCCACACCAAGGCTTACACATGAGATCACCCACATGCTGACAAACCATGAGTATGTGTTGGCAGTTTCAGGTCTTTACTTTCAAGTGTGAAAAAAATAAGTATTTTCCCTTCCCTTTCCCTGAATATCAGCTGCCTTTTTTTTGAAGGTAGTAGAAATACAACAGAACAGGAGCCAGGCGTGGTGGCTCATGCCTGTAATCTCAGCACTCGGGAGGCTGAGGCAGGAGGTTCATTGCGAGTTCGAGTCCAGCCTGGGCTACAAAGTGAGCAAGGCCAGCCTGAACTGCATAGCGAGACCCTGTCTCAAAAACAAACAAACAAACAAACAAACAGAACAAGACAGAACAAAGGTAACTGAGACAATGTGGTAAAATCAGTACAGAACTTCAGAGCAGGTTACCAGGATAACAGTAATAGGTACCACGCTATATCTTGTTATCTTCACAATAGTTGTCTAGCCAATTAGGTATAGCAAAATCAAATCAAAGACAGAACATTATAAAACCAATCGAAGGAGAATATTGAATAGAGTAAAACAATCATAATGGAACAAAACAGTGAAAACATTTGCTTTCAAACAGAAGATAAAAAATACGGAACGCTTCACAAATTTGCATGTCATCCTTGCGCAGGGGCCATGCTAATCTTCTCTGTCATTCCAACTTTAGTATATGTGCTGCCAAAGCGAGCACTCAGCTGCCTTTTGAAAAAATCCCCACTACTGTTAGTAGGCATTTGTAGTACATAAGAATTACGCTCATTGTAGGGAGCTGGTACACACAGATAACACATTTTAATTCTTTTTACTTCTCCTTGTTCCCTATCTATAGCCCAGCCTTTTTTTAAAAATTTGAGATGGGTCTCAGCTGGGTGTGGTGACACAAACCTGTAATTCCAGCACTCGCAAAGCTGAGCATAAGGATCGATTTGAGTTCCAGACCAGCGTGGGCTATAAAGTGAGTTCAAGGCCAGCCTGACTGCACAGCAAGACCCTGTTTCAAAAACACACATGCACATGTGTTCACACACACCCACACACAAAACAAACCAAAAAACCCCTAAGGCAACAAAACCAAAAGAGAGAGGCTAGAGATTTAGCTCAGTGGCATAAGCGCCTGCCTTGCAAGCCCGCAGTCATGAGTTCAATCCCTGGTACAAAAAACAAAAAAATAAAAGAATATGCCTGGCTCCCCCAGCCCAATTTAATGCAAAGAAAATGATGGAGCTTACAAAGCCCTCAATAATGCAGCAGTGTCACAGATACCATATCCTAGTGGAAAGAAGCACATCCGTCCTGTGGAAGACCCAACAGCCCCGGCCATTTGTCACCTTCTGCATCCCAACCCTCTGTGTGGACAGTGCCCTGTGTATGGCTTCCTCCTGGCATCTGCTCTAGCACCGGAGGCAGAAGATAAACTACATATCAGCTATCTGGGAACAATCAGAGGTGTGGACCTGCCAAAGCTTTGTTAGATGGATCATCACCAAGATGGAAGCATTTGTAAGCACAAGGCCAGCTCCAGAGCATCAAGTAATCATCAACTTAGTATTTCCTGTACTCTGAATGTGTGTTTATTTACAAAATCTCTTTTGAAAACAGCAATTCTGTTACTATTGTACCTAACACCAGGGCATAATCTAGGAAAGGTATCATTAGCTTGGCCAGCACAATTTATCACAACTACTAATTAGACATCAATTTAAAAACGAGAGCTCACTGCCAATGCCATGAAGGCTGCCAATAACTAGTAGTAGCTGGTACCCAGCTGAGAACCAGGACTCGGAATGGAACAGCTTGCTGAGGGACTCCAGACCACTGCAGAACAAGCCAGGGGCCTGGTGCCCACAGAACACTGCAGGAGTGGCTCAGCACATGTCTGCTAGCAGAAAGCAGAACTCCTTCCAGAAGTGGCCTCTATCTACTGTGTCCACTCCAGGTTCCCAAGTGTACGTGAAACAGCACCAAGCTTAAACCAATATTCATATCCCTCCCATCTTTGCTCCCTTCCCCACAATACTGGGGACTGAACATGGGACCTTTGTGTAGGGCTACATTCCCAGTCCTTTTTTATTCTGAGACAAGGTCTTGCTAAGTCGCTAAGTCACCCAGGCTGGGTCTGAATTTGCAACTTTCCTGCCTTAGGTTCTCGAAGTGCTCTGGGATTATAGGCATGTACCACCATACCTGCCTTCTTTTTGAAAGACCCCTACAAATTTCACTGAAACTTAAATTGATCTTTGGGATTAGGACAAGACAAACCTCAGAATGGCTAATGTGACTATTTTAAATATCCGAACCACCACCATGTAGAACAGTATTGTTCCAGTGGCTCTAGGACTGCAGCTACAACTGAGGGTGGAAATTACTTTCTCTCAGTATATAAAATGCCTATTCATGGCTACAGACATCATTCGTTGGAACTGGCCAAAGCTTTTGCATTCCCTCCTCACTTGATAGCCATCTGATTGGCATGTGTTTAAGGTTAGTATCTGATCTAGGAAGACAGTTTAGAACAACAATCACATCATACACCACTTGCCGAATGTCGACCACATGTGGGGCCTGCAGTGTTGTTTGCCCAGCTCTTTCCCATTAGTGCTCACAGTGACCCCTCAGACAGGCAACTGCTAATCCCACTGCACAGACAGAACTCGGGGCTCACAGGCAGTGTGCACAGACTGGAGAGCTTGTGAGCTGTGCAGGTATGGTGTGAACCCTGCTCAATTCTAAGGGCTTGTGGCCTATCATGCTCTATCCTGCCAGTTCTCAGAACTGAGTACGCATCAGAATTAGCTAGAGGGCATGGCACAGAAGCTGAGACCCTGGATTCTGTTGCTTTACAGTGGAGGCAGAGTCTGTATTTACACACATTCCCTGGGTTGCGACTGCTGGATGGTTCTGGAAGGTCTCTCTGGCTCCTGAATTCAATGAGGCAATACAAGGGGGGCAATATACCAAGTAAAACAGACAGACAGACAGAAACACACGTGCACACACACCTTCCAAAGCCCAAACTCAGACACCAGAGCCGGTATGGTGGCTTGTTCCTGTGATCTAGCACTCTAAGAGGCTGAGGCAGGAGAATTTCAAGTTTGTGCCCAGCCTAGGCAACTGAGCAAGACCTCGGTCTCAAAATAACAAAAGTAAAAAGAAAGGATTTGGGTTCAATCCCCACTACTGTTAAAAATTTTTTTCTAAAAAAGGCTGATGCTTTA